GGATATGGTTTTATTATAATAGGAGAAGGAGGTGTTTTTGTATATGGAGAATGTGGTTACCTTGGAGAGGGGGATAGCTATAAGGCTGAAATATATGGCATTCTTTTTGGATTGAGAAAATGCGAGCAATTACGCTCGGAAAATGTATTTGTTCAGACTGATAATAAGTCTTTGGCTGATGCTTTAGCTGGGACTATTGGGTTTCCATGGAAGTATTTTCTTTTATTACAAGAAATGTCTTCTACTCTTCAGTGTAATGGATACAGGATTTCACATATCTACAGAGAAGCTAATGCAGTCGCGGACTTTATGGCTAAAGATGCAGCTTGTGGGAGTTCTATAATTTATCCTTCACTAGACTTGCTTCCACATTTTGTAAAGGGTTTGATGGTTCTTGATCAATCTTCTTTCCCTTACTTTCGAAGTAGGTCTGTATGATGTATTTTCTCTCTTTGAAGTAGATGATTGGCATGCTGAAAAACTTGGGTAAGACTATACTCTGCCTAAAGTAACCTCTTTTTATAATTAATAAAATATGGGATGAGCAGAACTAGGGAACTATATAGTATATATGTTCATCCCTTGGGTAGACCCTTGGGGTACATTATACTATATAGCACTTGCTAGCTCAAAAATTTACCTCTTGGGTAGACCCCTTGAGTTTTTTTGAGCTAGTTAGAACCTGAATGCCATCCTTATCTTTCTATTGATTAAAAAAAAAAAAATTTGTTTGTGTTTGCAAATTGAGCACTTAGAAAGTGGTATTTTCAACATCAGACCACATATACAAAAAAGTGTATAAACACTTTTATATGGACAAATCACACCCTTTCGGCACACCTATGGTGGTAAGATCACTTGATAAGGAAAAAAACATATTCTGGCCTCTTGGAGAAAAAGAAGAACCACTTGGTCCAGAACTACCATATCTTAGTGCTATTAGAGCATTGATATATCTCGCTACTCATACACGACTTGACATATCATTTGCTGTTAGCACGATATATTTCCGCACGCATGTGAAGGCATTGGAATAGCATTAAACAAATATTTTGGTATCTTCACAGTACAATGGATATGGTTCTTTATTATTCAAAGGCGTCTAAGTTAGATCTGATCCGTTACGCTGATGTTGGATATATATCCGATTCTCATACTGGTCAGTCGCAAAAAAGATATCTTTTTACATGTGGAGGAACAACTATTTCATGGAGTTCTATGAATCAAACACTAACTGTCACTTCTTCCAATCATGCTGAGATTTTAGCATTGATGAAGCAAGTCGGAATGTGTTTGGTTAAGATCGATTGTTCATCACATTCGAGGATCATGTGGTTTACATTTGGACAAGAATGCCCCTACTATCTTGTTTGAAGACAATACCGTGTGCATCAACCAATTAAAGGAAGGATAAATCAAAGGTGATAGATTTAAACATATATCTCCAAAATTCTTCTATACTCATGATAGTCAAAGAGTGGTGAAATCATTGTTCAACAAATTTGCTCAAGCGACACCTGGCAGACTTATTCACTAAATCATTACCGACTTCAACCTTTGAGAAAATAGTCCACAAGATTGGAATGCGACGACTCAAAGATCTCAAGTGATGTGCTCAACAGGGGGAGTAATTACACGTTATATTCTTTTTCCCTTGACCAAGGTTTTATCCCGTTGGGTTTTTCTTGGCAAGGTTTTTAATGAGGCAGTTTCATATTCAGATAATGTACTCTTTTTCCTTGACTAAGTTTTTTTTCCAACGGGTTTTTTCGTAGTAAAGATTTTAATGAGACATTATTCCGTAAACAACATCCACGAGGGAGTGTTATGAAGTATATTAATTGTGGATGTTCTATCAAATTGTCTTAATGTTTTATCTTTCATTTACAACATAATCTACATAGGTATGTAATCTTTGTAACTATGGAGTTAATGTAATCTGTATTTTAGGATGATCATAAGCCTCTAAATTGAGGCCAAAACGAATGGAAAAAGACACCCCAAAAAAATTTCACAACCATTTCTCTATTCTCCATTTTCCTTGCTTTGCAATTTCTTTTAAACATTGATTAAGTTGTTGGTTTGATCATGCGATTTTCCTTCAGTTGGAAAACCGGTTCAGCCATGATTGGCGAAAATTGATAATGCTTTCCTATATGTAGATTACATTAAAAAAATATATTACTAATTGTTATTAATTAATTAACGCCTCTGCATTTAGTTTCATTTATTATTTTTGTTGGATTAAGATGATAATTTTTTAATGCCACTTGAGTTATGTTTCTGAATGCTCTTTTCAAAATAAAATTAACTCGAGGTATGTTTTCCTCTCTATGGTTCCCTTTCATCACAACACAAATTTTGGAATGTAGTTTTTCAATTACTTGAACATAATGGTTTTTGCAGATAGTTTCAGGTATACCATTTCTTACTGCAACGGTGCAAATTGAAATGACTACTTACTTCCTACCGGATTTTCCATGTCCAATAACTGGCTCAAGAAAAAATCCCACCTAGCAAAAATAAATAAAGAAATAAATAATTTTCCTTTACAATACCATTGGTATAACTTGCAACAAGTAGAGTATAGATGAAATGACTTTAACCAAATCATGTCAGCTTGAAACAGTTTCAGAAAGTCAAAACCTTGATTCAACTAATTGCAATTGGACCATGAGGTAAATGGTTCATTAAACATGGTGAAGATCATCTTTAGAGCCACTATGAATTTACTCTGCCAAACTCAAAATAAACAAATTTAAAATTCAATTTAAATAAGAAAAAATAATTAAAACTTTGATTAATTAGCAAGTTGGTGTGACTTCTAAAAGCCCATAATTCCAGGGCCAATATGGATAAGGGCTGAGTCATTTTTGTTTTTAACCACCAAGTTGTAATGAATTCCTTTTCATCTACAGATATTCTTTTTTCTGCATTTGACACACAAACATAGTCAAATTCACAAATTACAGTTTGGGCATCCAAAATTTGTCAAATTCATAGATTATTTTTGTATTAAGCAGAATGAGTATTCATAAATTATGTGGACTAGATTTCTAAGAGTGTGTTTTTTTCAATACTAGCGAAAATCAAGATATTGATAAATTTAATCAAGGTAAACAAACACTTTATTAAGAAGAGCAAAGACTACAGGTTGCAGTTTGATAATACTCCTTAAAAATTCGAAAATCTATTGTCAACTTTGAGATTTCCCTTTTAGTACAATTTAAACTAAAAATAAAAAATTCAAACTAGACAATAATTTCGAGACGGAGGGAGTAATTAGGTTACCTAGGTCAAAACAGGAAATTGCTAGTACTTAAACTTGCTTGTGTAAGTGAGCTTCACAACCAGCCAAAATGCTTATACAATATAAAGGCCTTCTCCAGCTTTCGAATGCTCGGACAAAAGGTTAAACATATTACAATATGGAGAGACTCCAGAATCTAGCATTCACTTAGTGAAATATATGTCTTATTTACAGTTGCAAATACAGATTTACAACAAAAATTTGTTCCCGAGAAGAGCTAGTGAGCTACCATGCACAAATTTGCCACCACTTTGAAATGCTTCAAGTCAATGAGTATGCTGTCATTTTCTCAAGCCGAATAATTCAATAAGCGCCAAACTCCTCATTCCATTGTTCAAGCTCTTTCCACCTACTTTTTTGAAGGCTAGGTCTAATCACTGTCGGTGCCTTCTAAAAATCCTTATAGCTTAGTAGCCTAACTTGCAAATCAAATCACACAACGAAATATTGACTTGCTTTTTTTTTAATCAAAAAAGAAAGGTGAGGACGATATTCAGGTTCCAACTGACTCAAAAAAACTCAAGGCAACATGTCTTTTGAAATTAGCAAAGATTACAGGGAACTTATTTGATGGACTCCGTCAAGATGTAACTCCCGAGTTCTGGTCCAAGTTGGAACAATTTCAGAGAAAGCTAGAAACTCAGCCTGCTCCTATGAGTTATAGATGGCATTGACTAAATGAAGTGTTGTTTGCCAAGTAGGTAATCATATGGTTTTCCATGCACACCATTGCTTCAAGGTTAGCAAACAAACAGAATAAAAAAAGCTATGCATTTTACATGGGCCAACTTTTTTGTATCCATTAGCAACCTTTTGAACTCTATCTTTCTTTTTTATCAAACCTACTGAAGGATCTACACAACCAGAGGTTTAAAGATGAGATGGAGAGATTTACTTGGAAAATCAAACATGCGGAGAGCCACAACCAGAGTGGCCACATAAAACACAATCACCTTGGTTTGTGTAGCTTTTTTGATAGCCACCTACAATGGCATTGTGAAAATGTCATCTTGGATATCGGCTGTCCTATATGTTGCTTCAACCGTTCTTGTTAACAGATGGAACTACTTGTGCGGGGATGATCGTGCTGTAGTCTATAACTGAGGAGTCATTTTGTGCAGACTCCATCTATAACCACAAAAATGCAGAAAAATGAACCAATATCTAAGACTACCAATATGTGAGGAACTGGAGATTTGTTTATACTGCATCTATTGAGTTTTATGTGCACAAAACACTGCTTACACCCCAGAGGTCTCTGAAAATGACTCAACATCATGGGTGGACATTGTATTTGCGAAGGTAGGGGCATTTCTCAATGCCCTTCGGGACACCAGTGCTGGAGCTCATGTTGTTATGTTAGCTGTAATTTTTTCTTATAAGGAAAACATTTCTAATTTAAATTTACTCAAGTAAGTTAATGTGGTTAGTTTATGTAATAAGAAAAATATCATACAAAAGTTGTAAATTCTTTTATCACATGAAATCATTTCTTCGAACAAAATGGCAAGATTCTTTTTCACAGGAAATAAAAAATAAAAACAATATAAAATAATGTGGTTGACTGATTCAAAATTACACAGCATAATATTAGAAATAAATGATAGTTGATTGTTTTTTTTCATTGATCAAAAGAAAATATTATAAGAATATTGCATTCCTGATTTAATCATTTCTTTCCTTTTGTCCCAAACCTTCCCATCTTTGCCTTCTTTTTTCTCTCGACGAGCACATCTTGATTTCTTTTTCTTCGCAGTTTCATCTCCTTCAGGTACAAATTTACCTTTTCTTTCGCCACTTTTTGCATTGTTCTTTTCCTTTTTCTGGGCCTTTTCCTCTCTTCTTTCCTTTAGGTTTTCGTCTTTCAAAATTGAGTTTATTTCCTTGTTTGACATTGAGATATTGTTTCTAGTCTAATTTTAGCCCAGAGGATCATGAATTTCGCTTTATATGTCAAAATATTGATGTGGGTTTTCTCTAATTTGTCTGTATCTGCTATTTTTGTTCAGGTTGGTTACAGTATGGGATGATTTGGTAAAAGGATTTATGACTTTGCTGTATCATTTTGAGCATTTGAATTGAATTGGATCAATATAACTCCAAGAGATTGTTCATTTTTTTAGAAGAATAAAGAGGATTTGAATTGTGAAAACTTTTTTTTTTTGTGCTTGTGGGATAATCAAGAGAATGGGGTACCTGAATTCTGTGTTATCATCATCTAACCAAGTCCTACCTGACGATGCCCCTGTTAGCGGTGGTGGTCTAAGGTATATTAATCACAAATATAGAACACGTTTTATTGTACAATGTATGAGACATCTGGTGTTCTTTTTTTTTTTTTTGTTCATCACGGATATTATATTCTTCTTTGTTGTTGAATTTTCAAATGAATGATCAAATATCCTGGATGGTTTCATTATGCGGTGGTGTATTTGTAGATGCATGTTCATTTTTGAAATTTGCATTGGTTTTTATGTTCATTCAATTTTTTAGATTTTCTTATGCATAATTTTTATGTTCTTGCTTACAATGTTTTGGAGAAAATAATTTTCTGGTTTATTGGAGATAAAATGGGTATTTATGGCGGTTAATGGGACAATTTCAACATGATGTAGCATTGTAATATGACTTGATTTAAAATATTGCATTATGTTGATGTTGGTTTGATTTATCATTGTGATCTATCTGAATCTATCATTTATGTCTCTTAGTTTCAACTCAAACCATTGACACGTATTTTTGAGGCCACGGTTGGTTGATTTTCTAAGTTTACTTCCTATACTCTTATTTGTTGCAAAGGATAACATATTTTTCGCATTGTGTGGATTTATGCAAGCCTATCATTGACATAGTAGCCATCTAGGTTGATGCATTACCTTGTCCATATGGCTTTATGATGGCTTTGTTAAGGAGTTCCTCACATTGTTATTTGATATCATATTCTAGTATTGTCTTTTGTATATACATGAAAATCATTCTTTGAGTAAGTTTCAAAACTTTCACGTTGTCGGTCGGGGTATGGGTTCTGTTCGAGCAATGTTAAGAATGTGGGAGAATGGTTTGATTCAGTAATTTTCATGAGTGTGAACATTTGAAGTTTAGTTTCTTTGATCATCATTACTTGCTTTAGTGAAAAATTGATTACGTGTTATGCATGTTCATATGAATTGAATCCGTTATCTCTTTAGATTACATGATACCACGTCTAGTACAATGTGATGTGACTTTTATAAAAGATTAGTTGATTAATGATGTCTATTTATGTACCTAATGAATTCAAAATTGAAGTAGAAAACTTGGTGAGAGATTCACACAATTTGGTTTCCTGGAATTTTTAGGAGGAAAACAACCTCCACCAAAACATTTTCCTTGTTCCAGAAAAAGTGTATTTTTCAACCCTTTTATCTCTGTCATTTGATTGTGCGCTCTTGATTGAAAGAATAAGTGTATAAGGTAGTTGCTTCACTATTTAATACACCATTCAATGTGTTATACACCCGAATTCGTGAAATGAACTATTCTTTCGGGGCAGAACCATTACGCTTTTTTCATATTTATGTAGTCTTACCTCTTGCATGTGTAACTAGTTGGAAATTAATACGGGATAGATGATGGTTTTTTTTTATTTAATGGACATGGTCAATTTATTGTTGCTTTTGTTGTTATGACTAATTGAGTTTTATGATTTAAAAATACAAATCGTTAGCTAAATATGTGTAGTCTTATACTTTTTACATTATCTTAGTGTAGTCTAGTCTTGTTTTCGTTATAGAAGTTTAACCCTTCCAAAATCGGTCTTTCTGTACAAAATCTATAAAACTTCAGTTATGTGTGCATGTAGATGATTTTTCCATGGAAAATTCTCGTTCATTGTTTTATTCTTGAATTTCTTGTTCAATAAAATGAATATTCCTTCAATTTTCACGAAATTTGGGCATAATGTACTCCAAACTTACTGATCTTGAATGAAGAGTTAAGATTGTCACCATATCTTGCATACAGAAACATGACTATTAATGGAAAATTATCATTGTGTATGGTGTACTGCATATATGATAATTTACATAGTTTGTTGCTCGCGGTTGATATTTTTAGCATATGCTAAATTCCTTTTTTTTAGTTCCTCCTGGAGTTATGCAATTTTAGATAGCTTTATTGATTCGTATTGCATTCGTTGGATTCAAAAGGTTGTGAATTCACTTATTTTAGTTTATGTCCTCTTTACAGCCATAATGGGAAGTTCAGCTATGGATATGCAAGTTCTCTTGGGAAAAGGTCTTCGATGGAAGATTTTTATGAGACAAGGATTGATGGTGTTGATGGAGAGGTAGTTGGTCTCTTTGGGGTATTTGATGGTATTGCTCAACTCTCTCTCTCTCTCTCTCTCTCTCTCTCTCTCTCTCTCTCTCAGATTTTCTTTTTTACGAGAACAAGGACAGTACCTGGTGGGCATCCCCCTGATTTCATTAATTTTCGAAAAAAAATACACCGGCGGTGCTTAAGACTTACCCAAAGGGAAGAGTCTGTCTTACAAAGATTTGTCTAAAATCCCACGGCAGCTCTGTTTATAACATCTAAGATGATGCCTTACAAAGATTAGCTAGAATCCCATGGCATCTCTGTCTATGGTTATAAAGAAAAAAAACTAAGAAAGAGCCTTACAAAGGATAAAACATAATCCCCATGACTCTTTCATTTAACTATTCAAACTATATTAAGCGCTACACTAGGGATATAAAGTTATTTTGTTCTTACATAAGGGAAAGAGCATTTATCTAGGAACCATTTTCCTCTCAATATTGTTGGGAGCTCATTTTGATGAGTATATCGATGGGTGGATCCACTTGAAGCCCGTTTCGTTATCTCATCGGTCAAAGCATATGCTTCTCGATAGATATGAGAAATATTGGAATTGGAGACTTGAAGCAAACTCCGTATCTCTTTGAAATAATGATGCAACCGCCATGAAAAAATAGATTTTCTAGAGAGAGTATTTGCGATTACCTTATTATTTGTTTAGACTACAATACAATTTAGTCCCATCTCCTTACAAATTCATAACCCGTTGAGAATTCGGGCCAATTCCGCTTCCAAACTGTTAGATATGCCCATAAACTTGCATTCAGCTCGAAGTAAGGATCCCTTGTCATCTCTAATTGCGAAGCCCCATCCTGCATTTCCAGGTTGTCCTATAGCTGATCCATCTATGTTTAGACATACTTCTCCTGGGTTTAAGGAGTTCCATCGTATTGATAGCACTTTCTTTTTTTGGCATGATCGGAATCTTGACTTTGAAAATTTCCTCTATCTCTTTTTGCTCTATCTCCGTTTTTGCTTTCAACTTATGTACACTCAGAAGATTGGAAACATGAGATAAAACAAACTTTAATAAAAGATGAGGAGAGAAAATTGTACCTTCTTGAACAATTTTATTCCGGAATATCCAAATTTCCCAAAGTAGGAAAATCGGAATAACCATAAAATTATTTTCCTCTCTCTCTCTCTCTCTCTCTCTCTGATTTTTGTAATTAGTGTACCTAGAAAGACAAGAAGAGACCTATAGGAAAACATATAAATGATGTAATTGATTCCATATATTTAACAAAAAAAGGTATATTTTTCTTTTCAATTAAAAATCCACCCCAGTGGACCCACACTTAAATGTGGGTAAAACTACACTTACAATCCCTGGTGGGAATCGAACACTGGTCTATTACCAGGAAGGACAGTAACCCAACCACTAGGCTGCCATTTAATTCCCAAAAAAAAAAGAAAAAAAAAAGAAAAAATGATATATTTCTAAAGTTATACATGCAGTTTTACTTTTACTATAATCATGTGTGTCTGTAGTATATATAGATAATGATATATTTTATTTTGAATTGCAGTCTTAAGCTCCCCTGGTTTTTGCAATATGCTTCTTTGTAATGTCGCTAGGAGTTTTGGTGTCTGTAGCATTTGAATCTTTTTTAGGCGAGTTTATTACTGTGGCAGTGCTATCATTTCCAATTTGAAAGTGTCCAACTTGTAGGCAAATTTTATTTTAATTGAGATGATAGCTTCTTGCCTGATTTAAAATATCATACTATGATCTGATTTAAAATTTTCATGTTTGTCTTATTTACTGTGGTAGAGTTGCGACCAATATATTATTACTTTCACATTTTTTTTAGGTTTTCTTATAAGGATTTCTCTGAGCATAGACGCATATAGAGCAATTTATGTTACTTTCACGCTTCGTGATGCTGGTAGCTTGAGCTCACCAAGTATGTCGATATATGCTAACTTCATGTGATGTCCAAACTTCCGTTCTCAGGTCATGGAGGTGCAAGGGCTGCAGAATATGTCAAGCACAACCTCTTCAGTAATCTCATTAGGCATCCAAAATTCATTTCTGATACAAAGTCAGCTATAGGTATATGTAGTTTTTCATGATTTTATTTTTGGTCATTGCAATACTCTCTTGACACATCTCTAACACTTTTGTTCTTTTCTTCCCAGCTGATGCATACAACCATACAGACTCAGAATTCCTAAAATCCGAAAACACTCAAAATAGAGATGCTGGATCCACCGCTTCTACTGCTATTCTTGTTGGAGATCGTTTATTGGTTGCGAATGTTGGGGATTCTAGGGCTGTTATTTGCAGAGGTGGTAATGGTGAGCACCAACTAGAACTTACTCTTAGAAGCTGAGTTACTCTTTTTGGGTTAGATATAGGTTTTAGATTGCTCCATCGTCAATGTGTTGTTACTATAAAAGAAGTATTCTTTCAAACCATTTCTTATTTTTTAACTTTGTATTGGCTTTATTTACTAAGTTTATATATACTATAACGGATATCCATTATAATTTGACACATGCAATTGATCTTATATTGGATGCCCATTATACTGAATTTTATCTATCGATATCTGAAATCCATATAATCTCTCTCTTTATATATATATATATATATATTTCCAATCTACATTATATATGTATCTATATATATGTATAATTATTCCAGTATAATAATGAAGTACTGAGATAATTGCTTTCTATTATGTTTTATCATGACCTATGCATTAGCTGACCCCATATATGGGATAAAGCATGTGCAGTTATTATTGTTGACACTATAATTTGCCTTCTTTTAAATAAAATATATACTTTTTATATGTAGCAATTGCTGTGTCACGAGATCACAAGCCAGACCAGAGTGATGAACGTCAGCGTATTGAGGATGCTGGGGGTTTTGTGATGTGGGCAGGTACAAGTTTTAAGTGGTTGATTGTATTTTTAAAAGTTCACATTCTATTTTTGCAGTTACATTTATTGGGATTTTTAAATGTCAGGAACATGGAGGGTTGGAGGTGTCCTTGCTGTGTCTAGAGCATTTGGTGATAGACTTCTAAAGCAGTATGTAGTAGCTGATCCAGAGATTCAGGTATGGCTAAAGAACTTTAGGCTAACATTCTTAGAACAGTCAATGGGTAGAAATGTATTTGTCACTTCTGTAGGAATCACATCTTATGGTGGATATTTCAAGTGATATATTAGGCATGAATATTTTTGAATACCTTAATGCATATTTGTTAGCTTTTACTAAGTTGTTGAATGATACATTAGTTCAATGATTTGTTGGGGCTACCTATTGGTGTTTTTTGGTGCATATTATAAGGAGATAAACCAATTAATAATTTTGGGTGGAAGTAAGCTCTATTGAGTTCTGAGAATGTTGGTTGGACTCGATGTTTATTAATGTACTATAGTTACTCATATCTATATCGCATAAGAGATATACATTTTCCCCTCATTTAATTGGCAATTAACGCACTTTTACGAAAGTAGACTAATAAATTTTATGTCGGTAATGCATAGGAAGAGAAGGTTGACAGTTCACTTGAGTTTCTCATCCTTGCAAGCGATGGGCTTTGGGATGTTGTAACTAATGAGGTTCGCAATCATACTTTTTTGTCTTGTATAATTGCGTTAGATTATCTTCTTTGATGGGTCCATATCTTCCTAACAAAAGTTCATGTTAAATATTCAGGAAGCTGTTTGTATGGTTAAGCCGATTGAAGATCCAGAGGAAGCAGCAAAAAGATTGTTGCAAGAAGCACATCAGCGAGGCAGTGCAGATAACATTACTGTTCTGGTTGTACGTTTCTTGGCTGACCAAGAAGCATCTTCTCATAGTGCTTCCGTTTGAGGAGCTGTGTTCTCTTTTCCCAATATATTCTCAACGGTTACTTTCTGATGGAGAATGAACCTTTAGAAATAGGGTGTTCCCGATTAACAAAGTATAAACATACAAACCTCCAAATCTATAATTAAGTCTCATAGATAGAAGTGTAATTTGTCTATTTCGCTATTTGTAATAATTTAAGAGTCTCCATTCCTATGTGGGTATGCAAATTGACTAGTTAGAGTTATAGTTCATGTGGTGTGATAATGATGGATTAGATTGCTGATTTTGCCAGCATAACAGATTTATTTGAAATGTTAATATATTTGTATTTAGCTGGCTTATCTCGTGGAACAAGGTAAAATTTTTCAAACCAGTGTCTTTGCTCTTTGTAAATTGGTTGGTAAAAGATAACTCTGCACTGTCAAATTCACTTTTGTATTACTATCACATGCAATAGAATTAGAGTAATATTTAGGTAAACAATGTTAAATACAAAAAACTATAATATGGGGAATTGAAGGAGAGTCTAGAGGTTGGGGTGATATACTTCTTTGGAGTAAATCCGGGTTCTAGTCTTATTGAGGAGTTTTTAAGAGAGTTTTCCTATATTAACATGAGGTTTACGGGAATAGCTATAAAATAAAAATAAATAAATAAGTAAATAAAAACTATACTTTGACACTGCTTTTGAATGTTCTTCTAACGAGAATGAACTATATTAGAGGAGGAAAAAGTAGCAGACAAGAATGGGGAGCTGTTGACCTAAATGTATTCTCCTTGGGACCGGATTTGACAAAACTATTTCTGATATGGAGGGGAGCACAAAAGTATGTCTCTCAGATTTGCGAAATCCGAAAGTGCCTTAGGGAAATCCGAAAGTAAGGCAAATCCAAAAGTACACCAGAGTCGGGTGTATTTGTCCTGAGACCAGATTAGACTTTTGGATTATCGAAATCTGACTTCTTAAACTTAATTGAACTTTCAGATTTACGAAATTCAAAAGATTTTCTGTCCACAAGAAAAGGAAGTAAATTTGGATGGTCCACACATAATTTATTTAATTTTTTTTCCGAATCACCCCAAGAATGGGTAGTATAAGGTGTAAATAGTACCTCACATTTCCCGAAGTTTTATTGGATGTGCCATTTGAAAACAATGAATAGTTCATATTTGACAAAACTAGTGGAAATTTTAGATGTTTCAATGCGCTTTTATTTTGATGGATATATTTTCAAGACTTTTACAGTTCATATTTTACAAAAATAGTAGATGTTAGACCGTTTCAAATCATTCAACAGTTCATAGTTGACAAAAGTAGAGGAAGTTAAGGATGCATCAAAACAACCAACGGTTCAGAGGAGGTTAGCCTGCTTCCAAGTGCTCAATATACTATTCATATTTAATGAAATAGAGAGAATTAGGTCCCCTTGGCTGGACTACAAAAGGATTGATTATATGCATTAAAGAACACCGATCATACTATTGGCAAAATTAACAGTGGAGCTTCTAAAGAAACCAGAGTTAATGGCTCTTCTTCCCTACACTAATTTATTCTTTTTAGTTTACTCTATCTTATTTTAAAAATGAAACAAGCCCATAAGGCATTAGGTAGAGGAAAGTTCTAAATGTCAAATATGAAGATCTCACAACAAACGGGAGATTCTCATTGTTACAGCTTCTGATTGGCAAAAAGAAATACTTTGTGTAAGAAAGAATGGAAAACCCATGTACACTCTTATCATAAAACAATAGGAACAATACATAATATAACCTCTGAGTGACACAAACATCAAAAAAAAATAAAAATTAAAACTCCATCCAATACAGCTGAAATAATTTCGACATAGTTGTCGAATCATGACATGTATCAGTTATTATGAGAGTCCAATTTTGTGAAATGTATAAGATTATCTCGTGCATCATCTAATTATATATAGATTATAAGCATTTTGAAATGACTAAACAACATAAGTGGTCTCATACATTTGGCTAAATTTAAATTTTGGTCCCCTACAGTAACATGGGTATGAAGTGAGTCTTTATACTTCATTTTGAAATTATTTTTTCACTGATCCGTCCCAAATTCCATCACAAGGATCGTTGACCCCAACTAGGCCAAGGGTCTTTCGTAATGCTACATATTAATGGAAAAACACATATATTATATTAATAATAAAGTAATAAAAAAATTATTAAACAGTAAAAAAAATTTTAAAAATTTATATGAACCAAGTTCAATGTAAATTCAACTTGGTTGCTCTCATATCACAATCAAAGTACATCAATTCACCTCCTTTAGATGTTTGTGACTATATCGACTTAGTCACTCATTGATTCAATGCTCTTCAATAGTTGCCATTCTGTCGTGAAAAGAATTAAGAGAGAGAAATTAATCATGTATTTCTTACATCCAAACTTAGATCCAATAATGTACTACGTATCATTGATAGAATCATAATGGAAAATGTCAACAATGGTTGTACCATTTCGCACTACAATGATAACTCGGCAAAGATTATTATCCGAAAGCTATAAAAATGAATTTATTTTGCAAAATTTGAAGTGAATTATTTGAAAGCTTTGTTGCACTGAAATCTGTCTCTAAATCCTTAGTAATTTTGTTTTGCATCATATATAATAGTTGACAGAGGGTGTGGATTAAAGTAGATTAGGGTTTATTTTGATGTTTGTTCAGTAATTTTATAGTAGTTGAGGATAGGGTTTACTTCATTCGGTTTTCTATTTAAGGCCTTGGCTGCCTCATGGTAATCGGTTGTTAAAAAGTAAGATTTTTCTCAGACCTAATTTTTCCAAACCATTTCTTCGACGTAAAATTAAAAGTTCCAAGTTTTTGTCCTACATTTGTTGGATATAGGCTGATAATTTGGAAGTTTCAAATTTCGGTGCTCCATTTGTTATATAAAGGCTGTCAACTTGAAAGAATGATTCTCTGAACCATTTGTTGGAGGAGAATTGGTGAGAGACTAGTGAACAGTTATCAACTAGATAGCTTCCGCCACGTCAGTAGTTCAAGTTACAATTGATATCTTCCACGTTTAAGTAATCAAGTAAACTTATCTATTTTGTTACCCTAAATGGAGTAGGGGGCTTGCTTACAATTCACACAAACAATTTGGAAACACATGTGTTGACAACATGAGAAACAACCAAGTGAATGACAAGATGGAGTACATTGGATGGAAAATTGGAAGTACCAAGATGGGAGAAATCATTAAAACCCCATGTATGAAGCAAAACTAAAAGAGATGTTCTGAAGGTTAAAAGCGGCTGAGAAGAAGAGGGGTATTTGAATTCAGAGATTTGAGGACGTGCTTTATCATTCTAGGTGTCCATCCATAAATGGAAGTAACCCCATTCACTACAAACAACATGTTAATAACAAATACAAAGGCACGAAATGATTGATTTAATCTGTAATATATGGTTGTTAACAAATAAAGAAGAATATAAGTTTGGGCCTGCTTAATTATGATAAATCTTTTAGCGTTCTTTTCTTTTTCTGTTTTTTTTTCGAAATGGTTGATATATAAGAGGAGGACCATAAAGCAATTAATTTTATACTTCCTTTATCTCAAAAAAAAAAAGAAAAAACTTCAGTAGATTATTTCTTTGGAACAGAGAGTACTAATATCTGATAATTAGTGTGAACATAGTATAGGTTTAACCAAATTAGACATATTGCTCACTCCTTATGAGATTATTTTTTCCAGAAAATCATACAATCCATTGAAAAAATAAATAGTATGCCAATTCATTAGCTTAATTAATAATCATAGCTGTACAGTTTTCTTGATGAGAGACAAGTATGTCCGGCAAAAGATGGCATTCAGCAACGTGTACCTATTAAACCGGACCAACAAATAGACCCTGACGATTAGGATTGAGGAACAAGTTGATCGGCTGGTTTAATTAATTGCAAAATATGATTTTTCATTGTAAAAATAAGGAGTTCTTTTCATCATTTTTATGATTTAAAAATTTTGCATACTAACATTAATGCTATATGTTGTTGACGTAGTTTAACTAGTAGTATGTACTAAAATAGATAGTGCAATATGTAAATTGTACAGTTTCAATCAAAAAAATTAATCCCAACATAGGATGAATTGTCATAATAGGTTGAGGTGGTTGTTGAAATTCATACGTTCTTTTAAGAAAGAACTTTCATTAACTTATTGCTGAAAATCGTCCAACACCAAATAATTAATAAAGCTAGGAGGGCTAGTCTATATAACATTCCTACTCCACAAATTGAGTCTATCATATGATTTTGCAAATTGAGTAAATGAATGTGAAATAACATTCCTACTCCACAAATTCAAGATAAACTATATAATTATCGACAATAAGCAACAAAATTTACATACATCATTCATTACCTGGGATAAAGAAGAATGACTGTCAGTAGACTTGTTGACAGCTAAAATGAGTAGACCCGAATTACCAAGAACACAAAAATGAGATTGTCCTATAGATTTGTGTAGCAACAAAGTATCACGGAGGGCAAGGGCTTCAATAGTATCCGAGTTAATAACATAAAGGAATTTACAACTGCTCCTTTCATAAATGTCCTAGTAGCTGAAAGATGCAAATAATACCAACACCCCAACTGTTCCAAGTTCTCAAAAAAATCCCCATCAAAATATGAAAATACACTCGTGCAACATCATTTTGAGGTGAAAATGCCAGCAAGATGCATTTGTTGTATAAATATATTTCATGTAACAATTTTTTGATCTTTCTATTTTGTAGTTAAATTCTCTGTAAAAATTGTAATTTTTGCCTCAAAATTACTTTTATCCCAGTAATTATGTAGTGCATTGTGTAGATTAATCACTCCCGCAAATAATCAAATGTACAAAAATAGTTACAAATAAGATATGAATATTGTAAGCTCCATGTTTTTTTAAGAGAACTAGGGTTGTACCTGATGGGCATCCCCCCGATTTTATTAATTTAAAAGAAAAGATTACACTGGCAGTGCTTAAGACTTACCGAAAGGAAGAGACTGTCGTACAAAGATTTGCTAAAATCTCACGACAGCTCTATGTACGAGCTAAGAGGATGCCTCCCAAAGATTATACTAGAATCCCACCACATCTCTGTATTAAAAAACAAGACATTAGCTAAGAGGAAGTCTTACAAAGGTTGAAAAATAAATCCCATGACTCCTATTTACTAATCCACCTATACTACTTCTAATTTAATCAATTACATTGAAAACCTATCTAATTCTTAAATAAGGAAAACAACATTTATCCAGGAACCATTTACCTCTTATTGAGATTGGGAGTTCATCTGATGAGTTATATTGAGTTGATATTCCGCCTGAAACCAATTTAGCTAACTCATCCCCCATGCTATTAACTTTCAGATATATGTGTACAATAGTAGAATTGGAAACTTGAAGTAAACTCTGAATTTTTTTGAACCTGGAGCTAAAGTATTATGAGAGCCCTCCTTTTTCTGAAGTAGTTGCACTATAATCATGCTATCAGTTTGCACCACCACTCGAGAGATTCTTCTTTCTTCACATGCCTTTAATCCATGAAGGATTCCTTCCAGCTCCGCTTCCAAAATCATAGCTATTCCCATATATTTACATTCTGCTCTTATGAATGCACCTCCAGTTCCTCTCAATACATATCCCCAGCCTGTTGCTCCTAGTTAACCTAATGCCGATCCATCCGAATTTAAGACCGTTTCACCTGGCTCTGGTGGTTGCCATCGTAGAGATAGTACTACCTTCTTGCTAGGTTGCATTACTTGGGAATTGAACATCTCCTCCAACTCTTGCTTCTCCTCAGTCGTTTTTCCTCTCAGCTTATGGAAACTTACCATATTTGAAATGTGAGCTTTGACATTCTTAATAAGAACATCCAAAAAGAAATTTGTACCTACATGTATTATCTTATTCCGAGTTTTCCAAATTTCCCATACTACCATTTGGATAGTCCGCTTTGCCAATGAATAGCTCCCTACTGTATGCCAAGCTTGTATCTTACTCCGCCAACCTGTATGGTTAGTAGAAGAAATACCTAAAGATGATGCAAAGATAGACCAAGCCGGCTTAACCTTAACACATGCAAAGAAAGTATGATCAATTTTTCTTCCTCCTCTTGGCATATTACACATCTTGATGGTCTTGATTGTATTTCCATTTTATGCAAAATTTCAGGAAAAGGTAAGATTATTAAAAAGCTTCCAAATGAAAAATGAGATTTTTAAAAGCACTACTTTATTCCAAATATTTTTAAGAAAAAGAAATTCTTCTCTGTTTGCTCTTAATTTGGAATAGGCTGAGGAGATGGTGAAATTTCCCAATGGATTCGGCTTCCACACAAGACGATCTGGCTCCTCGTTAAAAGTCATCTCCATTTTCTTCAATTGCTCCGCTAGTTGAGGATTGATAGAAGCCTCCAATTCCTGCAATAAAAAAGACTTTGAAACAAAAAATTCCTTCACCGTTAGATTTGGCAATGGAGGCATGGTCATTTCTTGCCAATTGGCTCCGGATACCAGTCATGGATCAAACCAGAAAGATGATGAGCCATCATTGATTATTTTGAAGCTTCTTGCAACCGGTTTTGGATCAACCTTTTGTACCCTTCTCCAACTTGTTTTCTCTTTAGCCATTTGAGACAAAGATAAAACAAATCTTGACCATACTACTTGTTGAACTTGAATCTTCCACCACAACTTTGTTGAGAAAGCATTAAGTGTATCTTCTAGTCTTTGAAATCCTAGGCCATTTTCCACAACCGGATAGGTAGTCTACTCCATGCTCTCCAATGTCTCTTGCTTCCAAATTCAGTATCACCCCAGAGGAAAGATTGACATTTACGCTCAAGAAGTTCCAATACTAATTTTGGTGGCGATATGGCTGCAATGGTATGAATAGGGATAGCTGATAGTACATGCTTTATCAATACCATTCTTCCTCCCACCGACAACATCTTATTCTTCCAATTTCCCAACTTACATCAAAAGCATCCAAGAGATGTTGAAAATATTCACCTTTCTTCCTTCCCTTGAAAAGATTACATCCCAAATATTTAAAAGGGAGACTTCCTCGCGGCATTTGTAGTGTTTGAGCAACTAAAGCAACATGATCCTCACTACTCTTGTCCGATACAAAAAATATGCTCTTCTGTTTATTCAACTTTTGTCCAGTTGCTACCTCACAATCATGAAAGAAACCATTGAGTTTTTCCATAGAATTCCTGAGACCTTTTGTGAATATAATCAAATCATCTGCAAAGCAGAGATGCGAGACTATTCTTCATCCGGCTGGCACTCCATACAATGCAATGTCCCCTTTTTCAGCAAGTCTTCTCATATTGCGAGAGAAAGCTTCCGACATAAGTATAAACAAATAAGGCGATATTGGATCCCCTTGTTTAATCCCCCTGGAAGCTTAGAAATAACCGTCTGGACTTCCATTTATAAGAATCGAGAACCAACTTCTTCTGAGATTAGATAGCACCAATTCCACAAAATGATTATGAAAACCAAATTTCATCATTATCCTCCTCATAAAATCCCACGAAACTCGGTCAAACGCCGTCATCATATCTACTTTCAAAATCAAATTACCTCCTCTTGCTTTATGACCAAGAAATTGTAGAAGGTCTTGTGTCAAGAGAACATTGTTAACAATATCCCTCCCTTGCAAAAAAACGGATTGTTCCTCTGAGATGAGATTGTGAATCACTACCTTCAATCTTTCGGTGAACAGCTTGGTAATGATTTTGTTGATAAAATTGTATAAACTCCGCAAATGATGTAGCCGTTTGTTTCTTCAGGATTAAAGTGATAACAGTGCTACAAATCGCACGAGGAAGGGGAACTCCCAACATGAATTCATTACAAGCCTTTTCAAGATCGTCGCCATCTATATTCCAGCAACTTCTATAAAACTTGCCTCCAAAACCATCAATACCAGGGGCGCTTGAAGGATCCAAAACCATGAATTGTAAGCTCCATGTAATTGTGCACTAGGCATTAAATTGTTTAGCTAGAAGGATTAATTCAACAACTATTTAATGTAATGATATTTTAACCTAGGATTTTTTTTGGGAATATATTTCTAGGATTGGCCTTAGAATTGGCTTCTCATGTTTTTCTTTTAAAACTTAAAATTCAGATAAAATTAGAAAAGGATAGCATATGGAGAGTTAGCAAAGGTTTGATTTTAACATAAAATGATATTTTAATCTTTAAAATTTATATTAACTTAAAAATTACTTTCATTTTGAGTTTAGTAAAATTTATGGTGACTTATTGAATTTATTTGGAAAAATTTATGAATTTATGATAATTGTGTTATTATGTAATTTATCAATTTATTATTTAAAAAATTCTCCCATTAATGAGTCATAATATTATTAAATATAAAATTTAAAATCATAATATTATGAATTCTTTGAAATCTTGACTAACTTGAATATTGAATATAAAATTTGTAAAAAAAATGAATGTAATTTAAAAAATGCAACACAGTCAATAATTTCATTACAAAATTCGATACAAATTATATTATTTGTGACAATATTGATCTAATCACACGCAAGAAGAATTATTGAATATATATTATATAGCTAATATAATCCTACTAATAATATATAATAGATACGACAACTGATGGTTGTTCACTTTTGATGTATAGTTTTTCATTTTTTTTTAAACTCTTTTGGGTTACATCATAAAAGACACAAGACCTAGTATCAGTTCAATACTTTAAGGGAATATGCTAACACGATCAAATTATGTTCTAATCATAGTTTGAACCTTAATAGTGACCTTTTGATATATAATTTTACCAGTTACATATGTAATAATAATCTGTTTTTTTTTTTTTAATTTCTAACCAGTTAACTCACTCTATAGGATGACATTGGAATTCATCTTGAACCTTATACCACTGTATAAGAATGTGAGTCATTCCTGATTTAACTAATGAAAAATTATTACATATGATTGTATTTGTGTTTTGAGTTTGAGCACAACAAGTTGTACGATTAAAAGACTCTTTTATTTTATTTTATTAGTCCTTTACTTTTTTAACTAATGAAAAATTATTACATTATCAATTTCAAATTGAGCCTTTTGATTGGTTAATATATTAACATGACATCAACAATTTAAAATAAGGCTATAATGATCAATTAATAAAATTATTTTTCTTTTTTTGTCAACCAAATATGTCATTAGTCGAGAGAAATAGCCTAATTAATGTGGCAGGCTAAACGATGACGTTTACTACTCGATGTTAACAATTAAAATGTCATTTTTGTGCCTATTTTTACTGCCAATTTTTTCGGCCGCTCTCCATTCCTTCCTTCCCCACAAATCTTCTCCCGCCCTAAAATCTTCTGATTTTTTATTCTTCGTGTGCCTCTGGAAAATAGGTTAGGTTATCTAAAGTTTGAGTTATTAAAGATTGGGATTCTGTCTTAATCAAAGTAAGGAAAATTTTTATGTCTGTTTTTTTCTCTTTCATGGGGATTAATTATTCTAAATTACGTGCTAAAATCTCATATATAACTTCATTGAAGCAGAATTTGGTAAATTATATGTAAACATTCTTCTTTTAGTGTGTTTCTATTTATTTTATTATCTTAAAATTCAGCATTTAGTACATACTAGAGATGCAAATGATCTTCAAAATACTCAAATACTGAACTGGTCACGCAACGAGAAAAGTTCTAGTCCCAATTAATGTTATATGTGGGTTATTTTTCTGGTTTCTAAAATTACAACCCGTTTCCATACCCGCCAATTTGAAAGACACCTGGACTCTGGCCTATATACATGAATGAATTCTGGAGCAACCGAATCCTTCTTATCACATTACGAAATTCTATGGTGTGGAAATGAACACATTTTGTCTTGGAAGTTCCGGTGCTACCATAACCAGCCGGTATGTTTCAGTCAGTGAATCTAGATTACCACTCAATCACGGTCTGTCGAATTCCGATTCCTCAGTTATCAAGTTCTCAAACCATAACCCAGCAAGATCTTCTGATGAGCGATTGAAATTAAGTTTCAGTTCATGCAGCAGAAGAGAAGCAATCGGCCTTGGTCTTTGTTTCTGTCTCATTGAGTCGATTCTTCACCCTCCAGAGCCCTGTTTAGCTGCTGAAAATTCCGGCCCATGTGAATTCAGTGTAGGCGCTTCAGGACTTGCGTTCTGTGATAAGGTTTTGGGTACTGGCCCTCAAGCTGAAAAGGGACAACTGATTAAGGTATTTGAATATTTTCCATGAATTCGGTGTTCAATTTACATTGTTGAAACTTGGATTTGCTGCCTACTTTGTCCTGTATAATTCTGAAGATTTTCTTAGTTCTATTGAGTTAGTTAATGAATTGGGTCATCCTTTCAATCAAAGAATCATGTCGTGTTCAAATTGTTGTGTTGATGCCCTTTTAATTAATTTTGGCTGCATAACATTTACTCATAGCTTCCAAGGGAAATACAGTCCACCCTGGTTCATGATGATGTTGAACTAAAGGAAGAGGCTGTCTGTATTTCTGTTCTTTCCAAATTAGCCAATTTCGATGGATTATTTTTTGGAATGATAGAACGACGTCAGAAGTTCGAGTTGAAATATATTTTGCAAAGCAAGTGCTTTAAGTTCCTCTTACAACTGGGATCACGTTTCTGCACTTTGCTATAACTTAAGAACTTTTGTAAATGGTTAATATTTGCAGGCACATTACACTGGAAAGTTATTGGATGGAACTGTCTTTGACAGCAGCTATAATCGAGGAAAGCCTCTTACATTTCGCATTGGTGTCGGAGAGGTAAGTCAGTTTATATGCTTCCCTGAAGATGTGGTATGAAACTTTAGAAATTTTTCTTATCCAGTTTACTGCTAGCTGTTATCATTGATCAGTTAAACAGCTGAATTTAACATTCCCTTCCATGTTCTTTCCAAATGCTAGAATCAAATTCTTCAATTTTATAGTTGTAGCTGCCGGGAATATATGATTAACAAAGTTAGTAAATCGTGGATATATCCTTTGTAAAGGTGTCGATTCCGTATGAATTTGTTGATCATTGGTTCATCTTCCATTTTCTGATGCCATTTCTTGTCTAATCCTCTCACAGATTAAAGATTTATTAAATTTTTTGCTGGTATACTCAAGTATTATCTGCATGATGATATGATCAATCTGTGGTCGTTTGATGACAATTTGAATGAACTGACCAATTTAGGCCATTTCTTATGAGAATTCCATTTAGTTTGGACTTTCATCAGTAGATATATCAGGAATGCAAATGTTTTGGCCAAAGTGTGCCGTAATAGGGACCAAACCAGTACTTGAGCTCTCTTCTGAGATTGTTCTAAGAGAACATTTGTGGTTTTCAGTCTAGATTAGTCTAACATGCACTTTCACACCAAATTTTTATGTACAGAAAATGGCTTTAAGAACAATGAAAATGGTTTTTTACTCCTGCATGTATATCTCAGCACATTTTGCAAAACTTTGCTGTTATTATCCACGTATTCATTTTCTGTTTACCTCACCATACAAAGCTTGTTACAAGGTGAAATCGGAGATACAAACTTATGTGGGCTTTCCATTTGTTGTTTTGATCAAAATAATGTACGGCACCTCCATTTGTATTTGACGCTGAACATCAATAGTTGGCTCTTGAACTATGGTCATCAGAATATCATAGATTTGATTTGCTTCTTAATTTTATCACAAAAGACTGGCACCAACCATACAACTAAGAGCTGTGCTCTTCAGTTCTTCTTAGTCGCGTGTTGTTTGCATGACAAAGGTGTGTCTGTTTGAATTCTTAATCTCACTACATATCTGGCAACTGTTGATACTCTGAGTATTGTCTTTTGCATATGCATACATATATATGTAGATTATATATACATATTGTTTTTGGTTAAAACATGTCTTTTCTCTATATCCATTGCCTTAGACATTGGTTGAAAAGCTTATTGCAGAAATTTTGTGTAATTGAGGATGTATTGATCTCGATTTGCAACTATAATTGTGTTGTCATTAATGAGTGCCTGAGAAGGATATCCGTTTTTTGAATCTTCATATTTAACCTTTCTCCTTCCCATTGTGGACTAGTTTCTTTAGGCCCTTAATTTCATTTTATGACAGTGTATTCTGTCGGAATATGAAATATTTACCAGTTGAGCTAATAAAAAGTAGAAGGCACTCTTTTTTCCCTTGAATTGATTGATAATTTGATATTGTATTTGAGTCATGTTCTCTCTCTCTCCCTCTATCCCCCTCTCTCTCTTTTTCTCTCTCCCCCTCTTAAAAGAATCTACTCTTTCTCTTATTGGTTTAGGTCATCAAAGGTTGGGATCAAGGAATTCTCGGAGATGATGGAATCCCTCCCATGTCAGCTGGTATGGAAACAATTTAACTTCAAGGATCAGTCCAACATATCAGACATATTCAACAAACGATCTAATGAATCATTGTTCACTTCTGAATCCTGTCAGGTGGCAAGAGGACCCTGAAAATCCCACCCGAACTTGCTTATGGTGTCAGGGGTGCTGGATGTAGAGGCGGTAAGCTTTATTACCTATACATTTCCCTCTACGGTGGTATCTGGGAGTCTTGGACATGAAAAATTAGCTAATATGTCAATATTCCTTTTCCATTCAGGAACTTGTATTATTCCCCCGAACTCAGTGCTTTTGTTTGACGTTGAGTTTGTTGGCAAGGCGTAACGACTGGATACTAGCTTTTTGACTACATTTGGAGCATAATGATTTTCTACAAGCTCTCATGACTCCTGGATGGATGATGAACGAGCTATTCGTTTTGTGTCTGCATTGTAGGGCATGAGACTTTCACCATTTACAGGACGAGGAAATGAAGGATTACACAGGTGCCACTTGACTTCTGCTCTACATGTAATCAATGCATGTATCTTGATTTTCATTGTTGCAGTGTTAAAGGCATTAAACGTCTAGTTGATCTGTGATGTTGTGTTAGTATTAGTTTGTAAACAAGTTGGGTATCCTGCTCCCATGCTGCCAATGTGAATAAGATTGCAAAGCTAAATGCGAATAATTGTCGAATGCACTTTGGTCTCTGAAACGTTCTGTGTCACCATATTTATTTTCATGGTCTGAGATTTTGGTTCAATGAAGATTTTATTGGATTCTTCACTCAAACAAGTTGTTAGTTGATTTTTTATTTCTTTTTATTATGTTGCTGTCCCATGAAGGTTGAATTAGGAAACAAATTGGAGATTACTTTCAAACACAATATGTCTTAGCAAATTTTGATCAACGGTGCCAATTGCATTATCATTTCAGCACGCTTTCCCACGTTTATATTGTTGGAAAATTAAAAAAAAAATTACAAAATCAAATTACTTTTTAAGTTTTAATCATAACATCAATTTCTTGAAGAAACAATTCATAAATTGCCCAAACATGTGAACGTGCCTTAAATTCGTCCTAAATGATAGCAGGAAAAGTTCATTGCTTTCACACTGAAACACTAATAAATACTCGAGGAAGACTTATTGAGTCAACAGCTTCCGTTGACTGGCCACTTGGAAAAGTCTTTTTCCGGGCAGGTATTAGTGGATGATGAAGTTCATAAATTCGTAGCACTACTCTTCTTCCCCAAGAACTGCACATTCCAAAGAGGTAAGATGGGACGTCGATTTGTTCTTTTCTTAATCTTTTTGTGTCAAACTCATCAAACCATTTCAATTTCAGCATATGGCACCATCATTAGTGCTGCTTCTTCACTCCATTTGTGCGCCATTAAAAACAGCCTCCTCTTGTTCCAATTCCAGCAAAGCTTTCAGATTGATGAAATCGCTTCGTCTAGCTGCATGCGTTCGTATCCAAAGACGGCATCCTGGAACAAAAGCGTAGATTGTTGTAGGTGGGATGGAGTAACATGTGACGAGCTGACTGGTGAAGTCATCGGCCTTGACCTTAGTTGTAGTCAGCTTTCCGGGTCCATGGATTCCAACAGCCCTCTTTTCCAGTTATCTCATCTTCAAAGCCTCAACCTCGCTTTCAACAGCTTCTATACTTCATCAATTGTCAGCCAATTTGCTGGTTTTCGAAGCTTGATGCACCTCAACCTCTCTTCCTGTGGTTTCTTAGAATCAGTGCCATCCGAATTCTCAAGTATGTATAATTTGATCTCCCTTGATCTCTCATGCAACGATATAGAACTTGAGCCTCGTATTTTCGAGTTGATGCTTCAAAACTTAACCCACTTAAGAGAAGTGTCACTGATAGGTGTCAACATTCGTTCTATGTTACCTCGTAATCTCTCTACTTCTTTAGAAGTTTTGAATCTTGGAGCTACAAATTTGTATGGTAAATTGCCAGATGAAATTTTTTTACTTCCAAACTTGAAAATGCTTCAGCTATACAACAACCAACTCACCGGAGGGAATTCATTTAAGGTCATACAAAATACTAGTAGTACGACACTGAGGTATGTTGACTTGTCTCCCACTGATTTCTCCGGAGAACAGTTGCCTGAATCAATTGGAAACTTCAAATATTTGTACCATTTAGATCTCTCTGATTGCAACTTTTCTGGCCCCATTCCTGAATCTCTAGGAAGCCTAACACAAATGACTCATCTGATGCTATCTGAGAACCATCTGAGTGGGGGGTTGCCACTTAGCCTACAGAATCTCCATCAACTCATCGTCCTAGACTTTTCATATAACACACTCGGAGGTGAATTGCTCGATATTTTCAGAAGTTTCAAAAGCTTGACTACTTTACGTCTTGGTTCTAACCTTTTCAATGGTTATTTCCCCTCCTCAATCATGAACCTAACAGAACTTGAAAGCTTACACTTGTTTGGCAATTCACTCATAGGTTCTCTGCCCACAGAAATTGTTGGTGCACTCAGAAACTTACATTCACTACTTTTGGATCAAAACTCAATCAACGGTACAATACCATATTGGGTGTTCACCCTTCCCTCATTAACCGAACTAGATGTGAGTGAAAATCTACTGACCGGCCAAATCTACGAATTCCAGTATCACTCATTGAAATATCTAGTTTTGCGAAGCAACAAACTAGATGGTCCCATTCCTAAATCAGTTTCAAGACTGTTGAATCTAACATGGCTCGATTTATCATACAACAACTTCAGTGGTAACATAGAGGTTAGCTTCTTTTCGAACCTGCAACATCTTACTCTTCTAGACCTTTCTTTCAATACCCTATCTCTCATCAATAACCGAGAAAACTCTACATTGCCTCCTTCTCTTGAAAACTTGCTTCTGTCCTCTTGTGGGGTGAAAGATTTAGATTTCTTGAAAGGACTCCAGAGTCTGGACCAGTTGGATCTTTCTAAGAACATGCTTCAAGGTCGCATATCACTCGCTTGGGTTCAAGGATTGTCTCGTCTAAATTTATCTTACAACTCGCTGACTCATATTGATCAGCTTCCTTCTCTAAACCTGGCATATCTTGATCTTACATCAAACTTCTTGAGTGGTCCATTTCTTGTCCCGCCTATTAGAATAAGATATTACTTTGCTTCGAATAATTCATTCACTGGAAGCATCCCTTCATCGTTATGCAATTTTTCTTTCCTTGAATTGCTTGACTTGTCCAACAATCACATGAGTGGTGAAATACCTCAATGTTTGGGTACAAATCTGTTGGTTTTTAATCTGCACTCAAATGATTTTCAAGGAAAAATTCCATCAAACTTTTCACTTGGGTGCAAACTAATAGGCCTCTACCTGCATGACAACCGGTTAGAAGGAAGAATCCCTCTGTCCTTGTCAAATTGCAGAGGATTAGAATTGCTGGATGTTGGTAACAACCACTTGGATGGTAGGTTTCCCTGGTGGTTAGGCACTCTTCAAAATTTGCAGGTCCTGAGCTTGAGAGGTAATCATTTGTACGGTTCTCTAAATGTTTCAGAAAGCAGATTATCGTTTTCTGCCCTAAGAATCCTTGACCTCTCCAATAATGAATTTACCGGCATTTTGCCACAAAGATTTTTCATCAAGTTAAAGGGTATGGAGAGAGCAAATCATATTATGAAGCGAATGTTCAATGATGTAGAATCTCTCTTTGAAAGTTCCGTTTTTGTTGTAATGAAAGGAATGGAGATAAACATTGCACATGTTCTCTCCATCTTTACAACTATAGATCTCTCAAACAACCAATTCCAAGGAGTTATTCCGTATGCTATAGGGGATCTGATTTCACTTCAAGGACCGAACCTTTCTCATAACAAATTTGAAGGTCCAATTCCTCAGAACTTCGCAAACTTAACTTCTCTGGAATCCTTAGACTTATCTTCAAACAACATTAATGGAGAAATTCCTCAACGACTGGCAGTATTGACATTTCTTTCATTTCTGAACCTTTCTGAGAACCATCTTGTGGGTAGAATCCCGCAAAGCCCCCAATTTGATTCATTTGGGAACACTTCATTCTTGGGAAACAAAGGCCTATGTGGATCTCAGTTATCAAGAAGTTGTGAAGCTCACATTGGCTTGGTGCCAGCAACCAGTGAAACTCCATCTGAAGATGAGAATGAAAGCAAAGATTTCATCAATGGGTTTACTTGGCAAGCTGTATTGCTTGGGTATGGTATTGGGATAGCGACTGGACTATTTGTGGGATGCCTCATTTTATCACTGGGAAACCGAAATGGTTTAAGAAATTTGTGGAGCAAGAATGCTCAAGATTTCATAAGAAGAAATGGCATAAGGGGATCAAATGGTTGTAAAAGAATAAAACATCCCAGAAATTTTGCTTTCGGCACGACCGGATGGAGATGTATTAATTTAGGGGGAAAAAAGGGTTTACCATATGCTGCAAATGGTGGTTCTTGTTTGCCACTGGATTTGATTGCTTCCTTGTCAAAAATAGTTAATGTAGAGGTATTTGTAACCCAAACAATGAAATAAACACTATGAAATGATCACAAGATTGTTTACCATCATCGGAACACTAGAGTCATGAATATAAAAAGTTGCTAACGTCCATTGAAAAGACAAGATTGTTTACCATCATTGTATCATCCTGAATTGCGGAATAAGTGCCACAAATATATAGATTGGATTACCAAAAGTACTTCACCAAGATCCAAGGCTTCAACTGTATCCAAATCAATATTGTAGGGAAATTTGCAAGCTGAGCCCTTCGTAAAATCACCAATATTAATTGGAGGCAAATGAAAACTCCAAGTTTGGAACAATTACGGCATAGAAGAAACATCACCATCAAATGTTGCTCTGAGATCAAGATAAAGTGCGATCCTGCTCCCAATCTTTAATAAGTACTCTCTCCGTCTCATAATTATTGTCCAATTTGAATTTTGATTTATAGTTCAAATTATGCTAAAAATAAAATCTCAAACAATGCAATAATTTTGAGACACGGGGAGTACTTTAAACATAAATGGTTACTAGGTTTTACAAGAGTCAGATGTTTCACCAGAGAAGAATGTACCTTTTTTTTCTATTTTTTGGTTGAGGAGAAGAATGTACCTTCAAAGTCTGAATTAATATCTCTCTTGGAGACGAATTTGAGACGGAGCTATTTCTTCTTTTCTTTTTTTTTGCCTCTTCAATTTCCACGCACATGAGGTGAAAACAATCCACAGGCCTCTCTCTCTATCAATAAATAATCATTTCAATAGCTTTGGAACATAAAAAAATGTCTTGGCGAATCGAGCAACAACGGTAAAGTTTCAATTTGTTTCCTCCACGTTAGATTTCTTAAAAGTACTTCTCTTTTCCCATAAAAACAATTCACCTTGTTATATTAATTTAATTTAAAAAATTGAACTATTTCTTTTAGGACAATCAGAATAAAGAATTGCAAAATCAAATTGGCGATTTCCAACACATAAATTTCTTGAAGAAGGCTAAATATATTAGCTAAATTGTAATTAAATAAAAAAGAGTATTTTTGTCTTTACACATATAATTATGGTCAATTTTCTCGTGATTCCTTTTACCATTAACCGGGAGTTAAAAAAACTTATCTTTATAGGAAATATCGTAGTGATATTAATTTTAGGACACAATTTGAAAGTTCATGTCCTTTTCCCTTATTTTTTTTTTTTTTTTTGAAAACAATCCTTTTCCCTTACTTATTTGCACACGGCAAAGACCAATAGCATATGAATGCCGCCCCCAATTCACATTAATACGGTAGAGAAATTACTTAAATAAATATGAATGTACGTAGCCTCTAAAATTTCGTTTAAATGTTTTCTTTCTTTTTCTTTTTTTTTTTACAATGATGGAGGTCATAGCTTAAAAGTTGAACTATCACTCAGTAGAAGAAAATCGACAAATTCGTACTGCGCTCGTGAATAAGATAACAAATAATAAAAAAAATTCTATAGTAATTCCTTCAATCATACTGCGATTTAACCGCCAACTTGTTTTTTATTTAAGGAGAATCCAGGGTGGCACATGATGGAAGGACCTTGATTTTATTAATTAAAATTAATGTGAAAAGTACAAAAGAAAGTGCTTAATATCGCAAATTATCTGGTACACCCGGGGGTACCGTGTCCCCTTATGCGCGTGTACCTTACTCTCTTACAATACGTTAGTCCGCTATTATAATTCAGCTTTCTTCTTTTTTTTTTAAACGCGGGGTTATATAAATAACCGAATTCATTCAAATTTGGAAAACTTTGTGATAGAGTATTATTGATGGGCGACGGCCGGCGGCGATCGAGGCGTTGAGGCGGCAATAGGAGTCGGCGATCGAGGCGTTGAGGTGGATACGGCCGGCGGCGATCGAGTTGTTGAGACGGCGACAGCGTTCAGCGATCGAGGAAAGGCTCCGATTCCACCAGAGTGGCGAAGCGGTGATTGGATCGACGATATGCTGAGTTCAGATCGAGTGGTGAGTTATGTCGTTGATGATTCCGGCTTGATGAATGCGGAATGTAATGGTAGCAAATCCATCGAACAATCTTACTGTACCAACAAATCAACGCAAGGTCACAATTCTGTTGTAGATCAGCTGGAATCAGGTTTGTGTAGGTTTCGGAGTGTACTGTAATCAATCAAGTTTTTTCACAGTTCTGTTTTAGTTAATGTTGTATGAAGTGGATTAGCAGTTATGCTGTGTTGGATATCCAAAATGTTTGTACTGGATATCCACTTTGTTTGTGCTGGATATCCAGCTTATGTGTACTGGTTATCCAACTGATTTACATGCGTATCCAAATTTTATTTGCTGGATATCCAACATTTTTGAGTTGTTTATATTGAATTGGTGTTTTTTCACAGTTCGGAGTGTACTGTTTGTGAAAGAATAATCAATCTAGTTTTTTCACAGTTCTGTTTTTGTTAATGTTGTATGAAGTGGATAAGCAGTTATGCAGTGTTGGATATCCAAAATGTTTGTACTGGATATCCAACTTGTTTCTGCTGATATCCAGCTTTTGTGTACTGGTTATCCAACTGATTTACATGCGTATCCAAATTTTATTTGCTGGATATCCAACTGATTTGTACTGGATATCCAACATTTTTGAGTTGTTTATATTGATTTGGTGTATCAAAGATTTTTTTTAAAAAAATTTTTGTTTTTCTGTTTGTCTCATTTTTTGTAAAAGATAACCATATCAGTGAGTTGGGGGATGATGTGATGCTGGATGATACTTTACGCATGGAAGTTACATCTGCTCTGAAGGATAGGTTTTCTAACTTGTTTATATGTGTTTAAATTTTTTTTTGATTTGTTTATCCATTGTGTTAATACTGATTATCCGACTGCATGATAATGGTTATCCAACCATCTCTTTTGTTTTTCTCAAAATGTGGAGAAAATAATAGCGGCAATGAATTGGGAGTTGATAATGTGATGGTGGAGGAGGATGCCTTGCACAAGGAAATTTCATCTGTGACGAAGAATAATGATTTGGCTGTTTTTACTTTAGTTGGCAAGACTGCAAGAAGTGAGAAAGAAGCTTATGATTTGTATAATGATCATGCCCGATTGATTAGTTTTAGTGTGAGAGTGGGAAAAACAGAAGTTTAGAGGTAAGACTGATAAAGTGAGGATGAAGAAATTCTGTTGTAACCGCGAAGGATACAAGAGATCCGGTGGAAATGGTGATGTGTGCCATGAGAGGATTAAATTTCGGTGTGAGTGTCCAACTTATATCCATTTTAGTGTTGACAAAGATGGCTTGTGGACCTGTTCAAAGCATCTGGTTGATCACAATCATGATCTTGTGCCGAATGAAATGATTGGACTTCTTCGATCTCAACGCGAAGTAGATGAAAATGATATGAAGATAATCAGAGACATGACAAGGAGTAGCATCCCTTTGGTTGATGCATATAAGTTTGTGGTAAAATTACACGGGGGAAGTCCGAACATGAAGTATACTTTGAGAGATGCCTACAATTATGAGCGTCCTGGTGTTGGATTTGAAGGTGGCGATTGTAATTAGCTCATGAAGATTTTTTGGGACAGGAAGGAAACTGAAGAAGATTTCTTCTTTGATTTTGACTGTGATGAGCAGGGTAGGCTGTGTATTTTCTTCTGGAGGGATGGCAGAACGCGAAAGGATTATGATTTGTTTGGTGACTTGCTTGTGTTTGATACAACGTATTGAACAAACAGATACGGAATGATCTATGCTCCGTTTGTGGGTATGGATAATCATAACAAGAATGTCATGTTTGGTTGTGGTTTTGTGTTAAACGAGAAAGAACCCTCTTTTGATTGGTTGTTCAAGAAGTTTTTGAAATCAATGGGAGATAAGCAGCTACAAACCATAATGACAGATCAAGCACCTTCCATTGCTGCAAGTATTTGGACATGTTTTCCAAGTTCTCGGCATCGTCTCTGTGTATGGCACATAGGTGAAAATTCAAGAAAGAGAATTGGTCATTTAAGGAACAAGCCAGATTTTGTTAAAAACTTTAATTATCTGATGAATTATACTTCAACAGAAATCGAGTTCGAGGTATTATGGAGGAGGTCAGTTTGTCAATATTTTTATTATTATTTTGATCATTTCCATGATTAAGAGTGTCTCTTATTTTTTTTGTTGTGTGGATAATAAGTGTTAGTGGTCATGCATGATCTTCCTGATGATTACTTATAGGAAGGTAAGTTATACAACAATGATAGATAACCAGCAAATAATGTATGGACAAGCAGCCGCATAGAAGCACAACTAAAAAAAGGCATGGATAACTAGTTTACACATTGTAGATAACCAGCAATTATGGCCGGATAACTAGTTTACAGATTGTAGATAACCACCAATTATGGCTGGATAACTAGTTTACACATTGTGGATAACCAGTAATTATCTCTGGATAACCACCCGTTATGGCTGGATAACTAGTAGAAAGCCTTTGTTGGCTGGATAACTATATGGATAATCTAACTATTTTTCTTTTTATGCATGTGTTTTATATTGTTGTGCACAGATTATTGGATGAGTATGATTGTCATGATGACAAATGGCTCAATGGCATTTATGATGTGAGGCATATGTGGTGCCCTGCATTTAGCAAAGATATTTTTTCTGGTGGTACATTGTCTTCACAGAGGAGCGAGTCAACAAATAATGCAATTTGTCGTAAAATGAAGGCCACATCATCGCTTTGTGATTTCCATGGAATTTTCTCTGATGTTGTACACTGTTGGCGGGTAGCTGTGAGGGGTGAAGATCTACGCTGTAGTCAGGGAAGCATCCATTCATATCTTCTTGGTGAACCTTTCCTAGAGAGCATTCGCAGAGTGTACACAGTTGAAGCATTTCGAGAGGTTCAGCAGTTGCACAAAGATAAGATGTTGTGCCGGCAGGAGCAGTTAGAGGTCTCAAATGATGGCAATATTGTGACGTACAATGTTTGGTGGTTTGGGATAGAGCACTTTAAGGATGGCAATATTGTGACGTACATGACACTAGGTTACAGAGATTGTCATGCACGTGCAGGTACTACTCTGAGGCGGGCATGCTTTGTTGCCACATTCTTCGAATCTGTCATATAACCTCTGTTGATGAGTTTCCTAAAGATTATATATGTATGAGATGGACAAAAGGTTATGGTGCCAGGTCAAGCATAGCTAATGAGGGAGATGGAAAAGCTCTTTGGGCCATTCTTTGTGGAAGGCACTAATTATGAGACGATTTTCAGACTTGGTGTATGCAAGTGAATATAACAAAGATGCAAAGAAATGTTGTGACGAGGCGGTTAACAGGCTTAAAGAAGAACTCAGTAGTTTCATTGGTTCAAATAATAATGATGAATCTATAGACAATGATGGTGTTATAAAGAATCCGGCTGTAAAGAGGAAGAAGTTTGGTCCCAGGAACGAACGTCCTAAAATCATTGTTGAGAAGGTATGTAACAAAGTCAGAGGCAGGAAAACAAATGCAAGAATTACTGCTGACCGAAAAAGAGCTTCAGTTGCATCAGGCCTGCATTATCAAAGCATGCCATTTCCTTATCCAAAAGGAGCTGCTCAAGATCTTTCAGGCTCAGGAAGTTTTGCTGCTGTGAATGCTTCCCATCAAAGCATGCCATCTTTGAACGTAAATTCTGGTGGATTCTCATTTGCTAATCCAAGTGTAGCTGCCCAGGATTTTTCATGGGCAGGGGCTTCCACTTCTGTGAATGCTTCTGATCAAAGCATGCCATTCATCAACCAAAATTCCGGTGGATTCTCATTTCCAATTCCCAAGGGAGCTGGCCAGGAGTTTCAAGGCGCAAGCACTTCCGCTGCTGTGAATGCTTCTCATCAAAACATGACATTCATGAATCAAAACTTTGGTGGGTTCTCATTTCCTAACCGAAGGGAAGCTGCCAAGGAGGCTGGAGCGCAGCGTTTCTTCAACAAGATGTTTTATTAGTATTTTTACTTGATGTTGAAATGAACAGTATTGATGGTGTAAAGATTTTTATTTAAAAAGTATTATTTATTTTAAATTGCAGTATTATCCAAGCAGTTTGAACTGGTTATCCATTTTGTTTGTATTGGTTATCCAAGTGGTTATTTTAAATTGGTTATCCGTTGTGTTCATGGTGATTATCCAACCAGTTTGAACTGGTTATCCAAGTTGTTTGTAATGGATATCCACCGATTTGGTTTGTATGCCTATCGAACTTGTTTGTACTGGATATCCAACTCGTCTTTACTATATATCCAACTTGCTTGTACCGGATATGCAACTTTAAATGCATATAGATATTACAAAAAAAGACATGAACACGTTGAACACGCTTTCTTCACAAATAATATCATTGGATAACCAGCATAGATAATCTGGATAATTAGTACAAAGTCCTGGGATAATCAGTAATAAGTTAACAAGGGAAATATATATTTTTTAAAAAAAAAATCCTAAAAGTGTGTTAATGTCTCCCAGAAGTAACATACTCTAATGATGAAACTGGTTTCTAGATCCGGCGATATACTTGAGTGTGTCATTTTCCAGGTAGGAACATTATACAACAGCAAATGTCGATTATCGTATCCTTTGATAATGAACTGTCCCGCTGGAGATGATTTGTGGCTTAGAAACACTGGATAAAGCCAATCATGACGGAAATGTAATCCGTGTGGAACGTGTGTGTTCACATTTGGGAATTTATGGGTCTCAAACATGCAATCCCATGTGGAAGTATCTGGATCCCATGCCCACACAGTGATGATTCTGAGTAATGTGGTACTCATCTATTACACACATAGTCCCCTGGAAGTCCAATATTTTCACTTGGAGATTCATATGAGAAGGATCAGTGGGGTTAAAGAAGATTGGAGATGAAGGGCAGTTTATGGTTTGGAATTGTTGAGTGTGGTAGTCAAACACGACCAGCAACTCTTGAGGTGTTGCTATTTCAGAGGATAGTTTGTCTACACGTTAGTACACGAATCTATCAAACCAGGTTCCATCAGATACAAGGCGAGAACATACATTGCAAAGTGTTTTCCATTCCCCTCTATGAATACTTGAACAACTTTGAAAAGAAAAAATGCAGCCTTGCATGTTTTTTCCATCGGCAATAAGGGCCATGAAAACGTAAGTTTTTGAGGATGATACGTACCCAAATGCTGTTTCACAATTGCTGAGAGGGACATCATATGGCCATTCAATTGATGCAAGTTATGTTGTCTTTGGGTTCAAGAATTTGATTTGAGACCTGGTTTGCAGGCAGACCAAATCTGTGGTGATAGGCATGATTTTATGGATGCCGTCGTCACCCATCGACATCTCTTCTTGCACTCGGATGTGGTTACATGGGTTATCCATTTGCACTTTTATGTTGGCTGCGATTAGTTCGTCTTGCAACAGTGACCTTCTTGGCTTGTTTGAGTGAAAACAAGGATGTTGTTTTCACTTGCAGGGTAGCTCATATCACGTTTTTGAAGAAAAAATTCTTCCCAAGCTTTGCTAACACGATGGAACTCACCAATCTTTTTCAATGACAGATTAATGAACATATTATCAAGCATATCGTGATGGATATATTCATGGTAGTTGTTCTTTTCTTGCTTTGCTTGGCTGGGGGACATTTATTTGGTTGTGAAATTTGAGGAAATTTTTTCTTTTTTCATTTTTTTTTCTGGCTGTTGGATGTTTTGGATGCTCAAATCAGGCATTCTGGTGTGTGTGCAGATGAGGGAGTTTTATAGAAATGATCTATGTGGAGATGTCAGGAAGTTCTATAGGAATGCTGTTTGTGGAGATGAGGTAGTTTATACAGAGGTAGTTTGACGGATTAACTACCCATGCAGTCCTATCTTTTCTCACAAATCAGTGTCTTCTCACTCTCTATTCATTAACCGTCATTATTATAATCAAGAAACTCATTAAATGACAGTTACATAACTGATCCTCCTTATTCAATCCATTGCATGTAAAAACGTGTGGCTCTGTAACTATAATTAGATCATGATGGATGTACTCTGCACAAACATGAGCCTTTTCAGTTTTCTTTTTTTTATTTTTACTCCCTCAATCTTTTAAATTCTATTTAATTACAAAACGTGTGCCTTTTCAGTTATACACAGTAACATGCTCCACACTGTGGATAACCAGTATGGACATAGTAGATAACCAGTGTTCCCACTATGGATAACCAGTTAAACGCAGCTGGATAACCAGTGTTGACACTATGGACAAGCATTTTTCATAGAGAATAAAAACAAAGTGAATTTTATATCCACAAAAAGGGAGAGAACAGGTGAATGGTTGAATGGTACAATATATATCGGTTTTAGAAAACCCTTTTCCTTTCTCTCTATCCCACACACTCAATTATGATTGAATGACGTTTTCGGGCGGATTCTAAGGGACAATTATGATTGCCCGGCTGCCGTTTGGAAAACGTGCGCACTAATGGGGCAGGTTTACCAGAATTTAGGCGGGATTCTGAAGCGGGTCATGTTCCCGGGTCGGGTTTGGCCCGCGAGATAAGTCAGACGGCCTGCCCCTCATTCATTTTTTGTTCTCCATCATTTGGCAAACTTCCCCTCATTCAATTAAATATTGTTTATAAAATTTGCCATGTTCGGCATGGGGGCGGCACAGCCGCGAAAGGCGGCGCAGCCGGGTTATTTAGTTTATCACGGGGAGATTTATACAAGTAATTTGTGTCCCCTCTTAACGCAATAACACACTGTCCTGACACACACACTCTCCTTACACATACACGAAAAAAGGATTACCTTAGCTACATTGGCGTGTTCAGCGGCGCGGTGCAGCCGGGGCAGGTTGGTGACCTGCGATTCTGGTAGCCGCGGGAGTCGTTTAGTTATGTGCCGTTTGGATATTTTCTTATGGATATTTTCTTTTGTTATGTCTTTTTGGAAGCCCTCTCTGAATCCTTGTTTTGTTATGTCCACATGGTGGATAGGCATTGGTTATATATGGATAAGCAGTATTGAGGTTTTGGATAATAAATATAAACTCATGGATAATCAGGTTAAAGAATGTACTTGCATTTTTTTTGGACTGGATGATCACTATAAAACATTCGGATAATCAGGTGTAACAAGTTGGATAACTAGTACAAAGATCCTGGATAACCATTATAAACGGATGGATATTGCTGCACATTGGCTGGATAACCAGTACAAAAGTCCTGGATAATCAATACAGAGCATTGGATAATCAGCAAAGAAATATTGGATAAGCAAGATAACATCATAGGATAAGCAGTTTAATAAAGAAGTAGAAAAACCAAGAAATTGGGACACTCAGTTTTTGTTGTTTGGGAATTTACAGAAGTATTTGGACAACCAAAATACATTATCTTGTTATTTTCTTATGGATATTTTCTTTTGTTATATCTTTTTGGATAATCAGGTTAAAGAATGTACTTGCATTTTTTTTTACTGGATAATCACTATAAAACATTCGGATAATCAAGTGTAAAAAGTTGGATAACTAGTATAAAGATCCTGGATAACCATTACAAACGGTTGGGTAATATATTAGGATGGCCAGTAAACAGCTGTTGGATATCAAACACTTTAGGATCAACAGTCAATCAATTATACAAGAGAACATAATGACAGGTCATTTAACCCATCCCTAAATTTTTCTGTCATTGTAGTAAGATTTGCTGCTCAAATCAACATGATCTGGAATTTCTTTTCGTTCTTCTTCAGCAGTATTTGTATAGAACTGGTGCATTGCTTCGAGGATTTTGTCCTTATTTTTGTTGGCTGGGTGCATAAGGATTTTTATCATGTATTTCCACCGGTACTCTTTGATGTTTCCTGTGTTGAAATCCAAAGTACTACGATCCTCGTACTCACCACCATCATACCGCTCCAAGTGGTGCATTGTGTATATTCCACAATCTTCCGCATTCGGCGTTTTGTCCTTATGCGATGGTAGCATAACCTCTGTGAAGGTGTACTGAGCACTGACCAGTTCTATGCGTGGGAACACGCATTCAACAAAGCTTTGGAAGAACCGAAACTGTTATGCCATAAAATCCAAGGATCAGCAAAATGCAATGGATAATTCTTAAACTATGACAATCATTTTGTATCTTTTTTTTCACTCACAAGTAGATCTTTTGTTGGTTGTAGTAGTCCAGATCTTTTGCATGAATGTTGTTGAGGACAAGCACTTTCTTTTCTTCAACCAGCAACACATGCAAGAAGTAATAGTCTCGGTAGTGTACTGGGAAGTAGATCTGATTTTTCATATTGAAGGGGAAATCATATGAAAATTTTTTAACAGCCAGTTATAGAAAGAGTGAAGGAGGTGAAAGATGTTGCTTACAGCTTTTGCCGCTATCAGGGATGCCACAGTGAGGCCTTGTTCTTCTAGTTCAAGAACCAACCTCTCATAGAATGTGAACTCTATTTCCTCTTTATTACTGCCCGGTTGATAGTATCGACTGATTGTATCCTGCGTTATTGTTTGAGATGGTTGGAAAGTGATACAATGATCAATACAATGGTTGGAAAATGCAGTAGAAAACAATGATCGGAATCAAGCACATACAAGCCACCACATAGAAGGCTTGGATAACTAGTTCAACTCTGATGGACAAGCATTAGTAACAAATTGGATAATAAGTGTTAGTGGTCATGCATGATCTTCCTGATGATTACTTATAGGAAGGTAAGTTATACAACAATGATAGATAACCAGCAAATAATGTATGGACAAGCAGCCGCATAGAAGCACAACTAAAAAAAGGCATGGATAACTAGTTTACACATTGTAGATAACCAGCAATTATGGCCGGATAACTAGTTTACAGATTGTAGATAACCACCCATTATGGCTGGATAACTAGTTTACACATTCTGGATAACCAACAATTATGGCTGGACAACTAGTTTACACATTCTGGATAACCACACGTCATGGCTGGATAACTAGTAGAAAGCCTTTGGATAAACAACTTGCAGACATGTGACGAGTATTTTACCAAGGCGGGATAAACAATAAGGGTTTAGTTGACTTACAAATGAGGAAACACCAAAGAATATCCGTCTTGGGGAGTCACTCTTAGCTTCTTCTTTGTTTAGGATGACAGCCCAAGCATCTATGATGCTGTTTTCTATCCATGTCCCTTCCCTCATAGAATAGAATGCTGTTCTGTCTGCCCAAACGATTTTTCCAAATTCAAACAAGAAATTCCTGCATAGAAAAAGTAGTCAAATAGACAAATAGTTAGAAAACTGGTAGGTTTTTTATCCCATAGGTAAGGATGGTGACGTTTACCCTGATTTAACTATTTCTTCTTGTCTCTTCAAGAGAGCGAAGTCTATCAACAGGGTTTCTTCTTGGGTCATTTTCTTCTTCTCCTCTGTCCACTGTATGAATTTTTTCTTGTTTTCTTCTGCAGCATGAACCGTGACCTGAACTGTTCGGGCAACCGGTGGACTCTTGGTGGATTTCTCCTCTTAGGTTTTTCATTGAGGATCCTAGGACTAAACAAAAGAGAGTTAGTATGTAAATTCGTCTTTCTATTTTGTAGTGAGGAGTCACAGTGGATCAAACTTACTTTTCCACTGTCTTTGTTAATTCTTCATCAAGCTCATCAGCTTTCTTTGAGATTGCAGGCGGCGGCGTGGTACACTCATTTTTCTCCAGCATCAGTAGACCACCCGTTGTAGAAGCAATATTCCAATCGGGTGGAATTATGCTTAAAGGGACTGTTTCAACCACCTTTGAGTTCTTCTCAACTTGTTCTGCAGCAGCGGCAATCATCTCTAGTTTTTTGGTATCACTTAATGATTCTGAAGCTGGTGCACTGGCCCTTCTTATGATTTCATCGATGGAAGGAGTGGGATTCTTTGTTTCGTCGAGTGCAGATGGTACTGGATATTCTTCTGCTTCTATAGTCTCATTGACATCTTTATCCAAATCAACACTTCCTGTGATATCTTCCTCAGTGTTCTTCTCCTGGGTTGTCTCGTAACTATCTTCCTGACTGGAGAAGATACCCAGGTTAAAGTGTGGGATAGTTGGGTCTTTGAATACTTTCCTTTTCCAGGTACCAGTGCTTCTCGACCTTTTGGTATAGGTGGATGTCACACCTGAATCCCTGCCGGTGGAATCTTGATGGGATCTCTTCTTTTCTATTGTGGAGATATTCATTCCATGTGCTGCAGTACAAAGTTGGAATGTTGGATAATCAGTACGAACATACATATATATTAGACACATTGGATAACTAGTTCAAACGAAGTGGATAATCAGTTCAAACAGGCTGGATAATCGGCAAGAATACAATGGATAACCATTTAAAGGGAAAAAAGGGGTCGTATAAAGCAGTACAAATTAGACACATTGGATAACCAGTTCAAACGAAGTGGATAATCAGTTCAAACAGGCTGGATAATCGGCAGGAACACAACGGATAACCATTTAAGGGGAAAAAGGGGTTGGATAAGCAGTATAAATTAGTTGGATGACAAGTACAATCACATCAGACAAGTATTTGTTTCATTAAAAAAAATATTCATTACCTTGTGGTTGAGTTTGTTGTTCATCAACCACCACTTCTTTTGAAGTAGGCATGGATTTCCCCACTGGAAGAGAAGCCTCATCATTTGTCTGGCTCAATTGATCCAGTCCCTGTGCCCCTTGTGGTTGAGTTTGTTGTTCATCAACCACCACTTCTTTTGAAGTAGGCACGAATTTTCCCACTGGAAGAGAAGCCTCATCATTTGTCTGGCTCAATTGCTCCAGTCCCTGTGCTTTGTCAATTTCAATGTCTTGAAAATTTGTGGGATTAATTGGAGCTTGTACAGTGGTGTCATCAGTTTGTTGGTGTTGTTGTTGTTTTTGGTCAGCTACTTGTCGTTGTAGCTGTTCTATGATTGTTGCAAATCTGCTTTCAGCGGACTTCCATGCCATCTCGCACAATTCACAAATCTATGCATCCTGGAGGTCTTGCTGGTCTTGCTACTGCTGTTGTTCCTGTTGTGTTCTACCTGAAGGCGGAGGCATCTTTCTACTCATCGACACCATTGCCTCTGTTAGGATCTTGATTGTTTGCTTTTGCTTGTTCATCTGGTTCGATTTTTAACTCCATTTCCTTCTCACGTATGTCTAAAACAGTTTTGCTCATCGTGATAATCAATTGGTAGAATTTTTCATAAAGAACAGCAAGGTCCTGCAAAAGTGAATGTAGTTAGTGGAATGTGGAGATGCTAGGTTGGATACGTAAGCTTGATCTGAAAAAAAATGGTAGAACACTACATAGACTTGCTGTGTGTTGGGGTTGGCCTGTGTATCCTCCTGTGATTCCGTCTCTAGTTGTTCATCTCGGGATGCTGCTGAGGACGGTTTCTTGAGACGTTCAAGTGTCTGGACATCTGTGAAATTACTTCCCTGAAGTCTTACTCTATCGTCTAGCATCTTTTGATCCCAAGATTTGATCACAGGGAATGACCTCGGATGCACTCTCTCATACTCACACCTGTCAAGGTAGCACAACTAACAAAAAAAAAAAGAAAAAAAGTTGGTGTTAATGATATCAGTACAAGCAAATTGGATAAACATTGCAAGCAATATGGATAACTAGTAAAATTTGTACGGATATGGTAAGTACCAGGAAAAAAGTGATTGGTCCGGTGAATGGTTTCCCATCATGGTGACTTTTGCATCCTTTCACCAGTGCATCAATCACATATTGACACCAATTGTATTGTGTCACTTCATTGATGTTCACGAGGGACTTCAGGATGTTCATTGTGATCTTGGAAGTGGTGTTTTCATGTAGGAATGTGCTCACAATGAAGACCAGGAAATCTCGTTTGAAGCCATCACCAAAATCTTTTCGACCAGCAATTAATTGTGCCATGGTGGATCTCGTTAGCAGGAATTTATTACTGTATCCCATTCTTTTCTTGAATGCATCCACCATCTCAGCGTGGTCCATTATAGCGGGATCATTCTGTTTGAATTCTTCCACTGTTTGGGTTCACGAGGAAGATCAAGTACAGCAACAACATCTTCCTGTTTGATATCCAGTACATTGTAACCATTCAATGGGACTTGTCTCGCACCGATCTGAAAATTGTTTGCCAGAAAACTACATAAGGCTGTTGGAATATTTTTGATTTTGAGATCCAGCAAGACGCCAAATCCCATATCTCTGATAGCCTGCCTTTGTAGTTGGCGATAATCTACCGCATGTGGCTCTTCCTTAAGATCTGTTGGTTTATTGATTTCAGTGATGAGTTGGAAGAGATGGTTTGGTGCCATCCTTGTCTCAAATTTCTCGACAGAATCTTCAGAACTGATTGGCTGTGGATCTTGACCAATCATCAGTTTCTTGTTCAGAGGTTTCGTTCTTTTCTTTTTGGGCTTTTTAGCATCATTGTCATCAGCAACCACAAGTTGCTTTGGATTTCCTGTCGGTGTGCTCTTCTTCCTCTTTGGTTTCCTCCACAAGTTGTGGGGCCTTAGACTTTGAACAGGGGACTGTTCTTCTTGGGTTGATTTTTGATTTTTAAATATGGTCAGTGTTCCTTCAGGGAGCTCTATTATTTTCTCTGGTCCAGGATCCGGTGATCTGTCTGGGTTGCAGTTGAGGTCGTGGCTTGCGCTGATCCACTCGTGCCTATATTTTGTTCTAGCCTCCTTTAGGGTACTGTTGGCATTGGACAATCACTAAGAAGTCAGTGAACAAAATAGCAAGATATGAAAAGGAGCAGTAATCAAAAAAGGAGTAACCAGTATGAAATGGGTGGATAACCAGCAAATAATGTATGGACATGTAGCCACATAAAAGCACATCTAAAAAAAACAATGGATAACCAGTTTACTCGAGATAACCAAGATAAAATGGGTGGATAACCAGAAACAAAGTTTGGACAAGCACCCCATAGCACACACGCAGGAAAACTTGGATAACCAGTTCAGATATATAGTGGATAACCAGTTCAGTTTGTCCATGCCCCATAGAATCAAATGTAAAAAAAGTATGGATAACCAGTTTACAACTTGTGGATAACCAATTTACAACTTGTGGATAACCAGTATGAAATGGGTGGATAACCAGCAAATAATGTATGGACATGTAGCCACATAAAAGCACATCTAAAAAAAACAATAAATAACCAGTTTACACCCTGCGGATAACTAGTATAAAATGGATGGATAACCAGAAACAAAGTTTGGACAAGCACCCCTAAACCCTAAACCTAAACCAGTAACAAAAAACACAAAAACATGGATAACCAGTTCAGTTTGTTCATGCCACATAGAATAAAATATAAAAAAAGCATGGATAACCAGTTTACAACTTGTGCATAACCAGAATGAAATAGGTGGATAACAAATATGCTATGTGGATAACCAGTATGAAATGGATGGACAACCATCACATAGCATACGCAGGAAACCATGGATAACTAGTTCAGATCTAGTGGATACACACAAAATATTGATGGATAATAAAAAAAATAGGATCCCAGAGTAATATACTTACCAGTGAAGCATGTATAGATGAAGGAGAGCTTGAGATGGCCGGACGTAGGGTTTTTCGCCGTCGTGTGTGTGTGTGTGTGTGTGTGTGTGTGTGTGTGTGTTTGTGAAAGAACAAACTGACAAAAGGAAAAAACGCAGGAGAAGATGAAGTTATCAAAATCGTCTTCCAACATAGGTTTTCCGTCGATTTTATGTAATTTTGTGGTGGTGGTCAATTTTGTATTTGTCCTAAAATGGAGAGTTTCCGTCGACTGTGTGTTTGTGTGTGTTTATGCATGAGGATGAAATGGATGAAAACAATTTTCTGTGTGCATTTAATGTAAAGGTAAAAACAGTTGAGCGCGTGGTGCGCGTGTGTTTGGTGGGGGGAGGGTATACAGTACACCCGGGTGTACTGGATACGGACTCCTTAATACTTACCCAAAATAAAATAAAAAAGAATCGTCTCACAAAAGTTTTTCTAAAAATTTCTATGATGTTTCTTATACAACTATAGCTTTGAACTGTCTTACAAAGCCAACCTAATATCCCCCGACAATTCAATTATCTTATCCAACTCTAACTAAGAACTGATTTACAAAGATTATGCCAAATCCCAATTCAGCTCTGAAAAAATATTAATTTATCAAAATATTTAAAACAAACTATTTCTATCTCAAATATGGAAACGATTTCTGATCAAGATATAAAAGGCCCTTCATTTCTGTGGAAGTACTAAAACCCTGTCGTAAACAATGGGTTGGCCTTAGGCTCCCAATTCAGCTAAAGAGTCTGCACTATTGATCTCACGAAAAATATGTATAATCTTATAATTCATATGCGAGGTTATTGATTTTATTTTCTGTGAGATATTATGATATCTTCAAGGATAAATATTACCTTCACAAAGAAGATTAACTGCGACTTTGTTGTCAGATTGAATAAATACATTTTCTATCTCCAGTTTATCACAACATTTAAGTCCTTCAGCTCACTTGACATACTGTAGCTGATACCCTAGCCATTTGTTGTCGTAACTATTTTCCCCAATGATCTCTAATTATATAACTATATCCTGCTACACCTGGGGTCCATTGTGCTGAACCATCGGAATTTTAGAATATAGCTTCCAAAATATAGTGGTCTCCATGATATAGCTACTATCTCTTTCTTCTTTGGTATTGCAACTCGGGCATGGAATAAATCCTCTAGTCGTTTCATTTCCATTGAAATTTGAGCTCGTAGTTCATGAACTTTAAGCATCCCTGAAATGTTACTTTTAATAGAAAAAATTATTTCAGAAAGAGAGCTAATTTTTACCTGCAAAAACTTTTAGATTTTTTGCTTTCCAAAGCTCCCAAAGTATGAAAGCTGGGAGGGTCATTATAATTGAGTTTTAAGCAGTAGAATATCTCCCCATTGAAAACCAAACATGCATAAAAAAGAAAAAAGACCTTACATGGTCGGGACGGCGAGATAAAAAAATTTCTAAAAAATAATTCCAAACCTGTTGAGCAACCGAACATCCATGAAAAGTATGCTGAATTGTCTCCTACTGAGCTTCACAATTTGAACATTTAGATGGAAAAATAGAGATCCTTAATTTGCTGATTACCTTTGGCATTTGGAATTAGTCGGTTATAGAGTTTCCAGAAAAAGAATGAGATCGCCAATGGGATTAATTTATTCCAAACGTGATGTATCCATGTTAACTTCATTTGGGAAGCTCTCAAAACTTGATATGCTGTCCAAATGGAGAATTCACCTGTCGGAGTTGGAGTCCAGATTTTATTTTTTTTAACCAGGAAAAGACCTTTTTTTGATGAAAATAAAATAAGACAGCGAATACACTGAATCCTATGCAAAATACAATTTTAATTTCATACAAAATTTGTTTCCTTATTCAATCTAGAAGAGCGACGGATTCTAACATTAGCCTTGCCCTTGCTTTTCTTCTTGCGATTGTGGTGCGGTAGCATAGAAACTTCATTGTTGAAAGATTCTCGTTCCATTCCCAATTCTTCTGTTTTGATCATCTCTGTTCTTCTTTGATGGTATCAGAGCAGGGAAAACTAAATTCATATCCTATTTTACCAATCCTTTCCTTTTTTGCTTGATTTGATAACTCAATCTACATCTTTTCCTTCAGTTCCTCACCTAATTTCCTTGAGCCCTAAAAATGTCCAATTCAGACCACGATGTGTCTGGATCTAATAGATCTGGTGATTTGGCTGTGCATACTTCAAGGAATCAAGATGATAGGATGGATGTTCATGGCTCAGATAACCCAGGTGTGAGCATTGTTTCTAAGCTACTCGTTCCGGGAAATTATTTGTCTTGGAGTAAGGCTATGCGCATCAGTTTGAAGCCAAATCGAAGTATGGCTATGTCGATGGAAGTATCGTGATGCCGGCATCCAGCTCTCCAGATTTCGAGAAATGGTTGCATGGAGATCGTATGGTACTTGGATGGATTATGAGTTCAGTCTCTGGGGAACTCATTGATAGTTTCTACTCTACTACAAATGCCAAGGAGCTTTGGGATGAACTTGCTGAAAGGTATGGCTCTGCAAATTCTCTTTGTTTATATGAGCTTCAAAGGGAAATCTGTTCTGAAAAACAAGAAAATTTGCCAATTCTGTAATATTTTGGTAAATTAAAGAAATTGTGAGATGAGAAGGATCACTTTATGCCTTTGCCACAATGTGTTTATGGAAAGTGCACATGTGGAGTATCTCGACAGATTCAGGAAATGAGTCACGAGGAAAAGGTTCTTCAGTTCATGATGGGATTGACTGAAGGTTATGAGGCTTTGAAGGATCAAGTGCTTATGCAGGAATAGGAGAATCTACTGGCATCTATGGTGCAAAAGGAGCTTAGTAAAATGGCGAAAGGAAAAATGGAGGAACCAGATGAAAATCTTGCTGTGAACGGAGTGAACTTTGCTCACATTCACGACTTTGCAGGTAATACTACTGTTCAAAAATTGAGTTCTTTGTATTCTGAATTTATAAGTAAAGACTCATGGTTTGTTGATACCGGTGCCACTGCTCATATGATTGCATCTCTGTCATTACTGTTTCATCCTAAATTTGTTAGTTCATACATGCCCATTTACCTTCCTGATGGTAGCATTAAGACTGTTACACATATTGGTGATGTGAAACTTTCTGATAGTGTTACTTTACAATCATGTCTTCATGTTCCTGGTTTTAGATACAACCTTTTATCAGTCCGGAAATTAGCCAAAACCACCACACTATATTTCTCATTTTTTGCTGAATTTTGTCTCCTACAGGACCTACAGACTAAGCAGGTCCTTGCAGTTGGCAGAATAGTAAAAGAACTTTACCTCCTATCACCAAAGTCTTTTGAACCTGAAACTTTAGAGAGTTTCAAACCTTTTGTTTGTAAAATTCATGAAGCTACTACATTTCATGGATTGTCACCAAAGCCATCTTTTGCTTCTGCTGCAACTTTTCTGAATTCGATTGTAAATGAGAATGATTCCAAGGTATGGCATCATAGACTTGGTCATACTTCTCCATCTGTAATGTTGCATATTGATAATATTAATACAAATGGCTTGGATTCTTTTGATCACTTGGCTTGTGATGTTTGTCATTATGCAAAACAACATAGAATTCCTTTTCCTGTTAGCCGAATACAATCTAAACATTGTTTTGATCTTCTTCACTTGGATGTGTGGGGTCCATATCATAGACCTTCCCTAACTGGTGCACAGTTTTTTCTAACAGTGGTAGATGATTTCAGTAGGTGTACTTGGGTTTTCTTGCTTAAATAAAAAACACAAGTTCCTATAACCCTTGAAAATTTCTTTTCTATGGTGAAAACACAATTCCATGATGTTGTCAAGATTGTCAGGACAGATAATGGATCTGAGTTCGTTAGTCACTCTTGTCAAACACTGTTTTCTAAACTAGGCATCTTGCACCAAAAATCATGTCCCTATACACCACAACAAAATGGTGTGGTGGAACGAAAACATAGGTATCTTCTTCAAATTGCAAGGGCACTTATGTTTCATTCTAAGTTGCCACGGAGATTTTGGGGTGAATCCATTTTGCAAGCAACACATATTATCAACAGGCTCCCTTCTTCCCTTCTAAAATGGAAATCTCCTTATGAGATTCTCCATTCAAGAAAACCAGATCTATCATCCCTTAAAGTCTTTGGTTGCTTGGCATTTGCTACTAATGTTCTCCCTCACAAAGACAAATTTTCTTCTAGAGCCATTAAATCCATTTTCCTAGGTTATTCGCCGGGACAAAAGGGTTACAAACTATGTAGCTTAGATGAAAGAAAAATTTCTGTCTCTCGAGATGTTACATTTTATGAAGATCAGTTCCCTTTGACTGAACCACAAACTCCTATTAGTCATACCCAATCCTCTCCAATTCCTATCTTCCAAAAATTCCCTGATGATATTGATGATCCTTTACCACTAGCCCCAGCTTCTCCTATCAGCAAATTTTCAAAACAACATAGTAGGTCTGATCATCATGATAAATGTGTTTCTGAAAATTCTGAAACTCTTGTGCCATCGTTTGAACCTCATCCTAGACCACAGCCTATACCTCCCCCTATGATTAGGACTAGTACTCGTGTTAAAAGTCAACCACCTTGGTTAAAAGATTTTGACACCCCTACTTTGCACCGTGCTTCTGTTAGCATTACGGAGTTTCCTGAACCTTCCAATCTTCATGCACTCACTTGTTTTAGTCCCGCATACAATGATTTTGTGGCAAATTTATCAACATTGCATGAGCCTTATTCTTATAATCAGGCAAGAACTAATGCAAAATGGGTAAAAGCCATGAATTTAGAACTGGAAGCCTTGGAAAAAAATCAAAACTGGGAGGTTGTTGATCTTCCACCTGGTAAGAGGCCTATAGGGTGTAAATGGGTCTATAAAATCAAATGTAATCAAGATGGTACAGTGGAACGATACAAGGCTCGTTTAGTTGCCAAGGGATATAGCCAAGTGGAAGGGGAGGAATATTTTGAGAGTTTTTCTCCTGTTGCTAAGATGGTTACTGTTAGGATTCTATTGGCAGTTGCAGCATCTCGCACTTGGCCTCTGCATCAGCTTGACATTAACAATGCCTTTCTTCATGGCTACCTCGATGAAGAGGTTTATATGCTACCTCCACCAGGTTATCTTTCTACCTCTTCTAAGCAAGTCTGTCGCTTGAAGAGATCTCTTTATGGTCTGAAACAGGCGTCTAGACAATGGAATAGTGAGCTTACTTCTCAGTTGATTAATTTTGGATTTAAGCAATCTTGCCATGACTATTGTTTATTTACTTTGAAGAAACCTGGTTGTTTTTTGATGCTGTTGGTGTATGTTGATGACCTGTTAATCACTGGTTCCTGTGAAGCTTCTATTCTTGATGTTAAAGAATTTTTACACAAGTTGTTTACCATTAAAGATTTGGGATATGCTCGTTACTTTCTGGGCATAGAGATAGCCAGTTCTCCTTCGGGTCTCTATTTAAGTCAGTCAAAATATATTACTGACTTACTTCAAGATGCTCACCTGTTGGACTGTATTCCTAAACCCACACCATTAGCACCTGGTTTTCAATTTCCTCATCAAGATAAGACTCCTCTATACTCAGAACCTGAGAAGTTTCGAAGGTTAGTTGGGAGATTATTGTACCTCGATTTCACTAGGCCTGACATAAGTCATGCTGTCCAACAACTTAGTCAATTCATGCATGCGCCTCATGATTCTCATTGGAATTCTGCCTTACATGTCTTGAAATACTTAGATGGCTGTGTTAATAAAGGAATTTTCTACCCTAGTTGTAGCTCTTTGGACCTTACTGGATACTGTGACTCAGATTATGGAGCTTGTAAGCCCACTAGACGATCTCTTACAGGGTATTGCATGTTCCTTGGATCTTTTTTGGTGTCTTGGAAGACAAATAAACAAACCACCATATCCCGATCTTCAGCTGAAGCTGAATACAGGGCTATGGCGACTGCAGCTTGTGAATTACGGTGGATCTCTTATCTTTTAGCTGATTTTGGGATTTCTCCTTCTTTACCCATTCCATTTTACTGTGATAATCAAGCTGCTCTTCACATTGTTGCTAATCCGGTATTCCATGAAAGAACGAAGCATATAGAGATTGATTGTCATGTGGTTCGGGAGTACTACAAAGCTGGTTTTCTCAATCCTACCCATGTACCCTCCAAACTTCAGTTGGCCGATGTACTTACAAAGTCACTTTCTTATCCCTTATTTTCTACTCTTTTGCTCAAGATGGGTTTATGTTCTTCACCTAAAGCTCCATCTTGAGGGGGGCATGTAAAGAAATATGGACTCTGCTGTAATTTATTTGTGCATAAGCTCAGTTAGGACATTTCTGTCTTTTTACATTTGCACAGTAGTAGGACATTTGTGCATATATATGTACAGAACCTCCGTATCTTTATTAATTAAGAAAGAGAAAAACTCCTTTCACAGAAACATGGCGTTTTCTTTCCTTAATCCAGATCTGTGTCCAGTTACTTCTGTTTTGATCATCTCTGTTCTTCTTTGAGATGCATCTTCAGAATATGAGGACAGAGATTGTGGAATAGCAGGAGCATTGATTGCGGGATCGCTTGTTGCGGGATTGCTTGGAGATATTTCCACTGATTGCGAGTCGTTTAAAATTTGAAAGTCCGAATTTGATTGGCTTGCTAGATCTTGAGTTGATTTCGTTGAAGATTGATCATTGATTACGGGATTTGTTGCGGGATCATGAAGATTGATCTCGTTTGAAATTTGAAAATTCTGATTGGATTGATTTGGGAGCATTGATTGCATATCTCTTTGAACTGCAACAAATAAGGGATTCGGTTGCACTTTTGAAGAAATTTGCAAAATTGTAGGAGTTTCCTTTCCACCGATGGCCACCGGAGACTCCCACCGGCCTTCCTCCATTGGATTTTCCTCCAGTGGCAGCACAGGCGGTGGATTTTCCTGATTATCCACAAGTTGAGCCTCTGTGGTTTTTTCCTCCGTTGGCAACTCCAAGATCGGTGATGATTCTGGAATTTTAGATGAGTGCTTTATTGGTACCAGTTTCTTTGATTGTTTTTTTGTGAGTTGATGCGAATCCGGCTTTGGTGGTGTTGCGAGTTTATTGTGTCGACAGGAGTGGAGGTCGTGGCCAATTTTTCTGCAGTCAACTCAATATTGGGGCATGTTCTCATAGAGAATTGATTGAAAGTAAGAATTCCCTTCGATCCTTAAGAAGATCTATCTCTACACAAACTCGTACCACTGAGGGTCGTGACATATTGAGTGTTGGGAAGTCAATTTGAAGAGGTGTTCCAATGATGCTAGCAAGTTTTCATAAGTATTCTTTGTTGAAGCGATGAATGGGAAGGACTTCAAAGGAAACTCAAACGGGAACGATGGAGCTTTCTTGCGTTGGATTAAAGTCTATTGTCCATTTTAGAACTCGAATCCGGTGTGTGTCAAAGGTCCATAAACCTTTTAGCCAGCAACGATGATAATCTTTCTCCAGATTAAAACAAATGAGGACATGTCGTTGGTCGATCATTCCAAGTGAGAAGCTTTCTTTGAAGTCAATTGTTTGGAATTCTCTCCTCAAGTATTCCAATTTTGGCCAGTCTTTGGTGAATTTTCCAACAAGAGCAAGTCGGAAAGGGGCAGCCAACTTTTCATCTTCTTCTTTTGTAAGCAGAAAAGTCGACTCTCCTTTGAAGAGGGTTGGTTCCGAGTGTATAATGGATGGGTTCAGATCTTAATTTTTTGTTGAGTTATTGTATAGTGTTTTTGGATTTGGATTAGATCCTAGATGAGCAAATGAAGGACGTTGGTCAGGAGGTTGAGTTGGTTGTGTTGGGCCTATGGCCGGCGGCCGACCACCGGCCATGAGAAAGGGAGAAGAGAGATACTAGAAGAGAGAGTTTGAGTCCAGATTATTCTGTCCTCTTCATCAGAAAAGTAGAGTTGCAAAGATTGAAGATGTTGAGCTTTTCAGGAGGCAAAATATTTTGAAAATCCTCCAGCAAGGTTCCACGGTTTTCATGAAAATCCTCCGTTTTGATTATCTGTATAGCACAAATGTGATGCAATCGTTGATCCTGCTGGAGCTCCAAAATTAGCTATAAGACCTGTTTGAACAATAAAATTCAATCTTCGAGTGAGAGCTTCAGATATTAGGAGAAACAAATATGGAGACAATGAATCACCCTGTTTGATGCCTCTAGATCCTTGGAAAAAATCTGTTCGGCCACCATTGATCAAGATAGAGAATTACAATCCTTTTCAGATTATTCATGATAAGTTGATTAAACTGGTCTCGGAAGTCAAAAGATTCTAAAAGCCGATTGCTTCATTGAGATTAGATTGAGAAGCAAGAGTTTCATTCTATTCATTAAAATCTGTGTAAAGACTTTGTTAATGAAGTTGCAAAGACTTTTCGGCCGGAAATCCGCAAAAGAGTTAACTGAGTTCTTCTTCGGAGTGATCAAAGTGCTCCCAATAGCTCTTGGCAGAGTTCCATTCATAAAATCCAAGCAAGCAGCAAGTAAATCAAATTTTATTATCTCCCAGCAACGAGTAAAAAGTTCTCCAGCAATGCTGTCTGCCCCCTGGGCACAAGAAGAATCCAGCCCAACTACCGCTTGTTTCAGCTCTTCTATAGTTACATTCTGTAGTAATTTATTATTACCTGTCTCAGTGATGATATGAGGAATGTGTTGACGTAGTATTTCCTGAGCTTCTTCTCTATCTTCTCCATTATCTTCCTGAAGTAAAGTTTTGAAGAAAAGTTCAGCTTCCATTTCAATGTCCGAAGGATCAGTTAACCAAACTCCATTTCCGGACTGTATTTTATGAAGCCCTTGGTTGACTTGTTTTTCAGCTATAGAGGTGTGAAAATAGGCAGTATTAGTGTTGCCTTCCTTCAGCCAATTTAATCTTGTTTTGATACCTTTAATGACCCCTATATGAATGCTGAAAATGTCCTCTGAACCTTGTGATACTCGTAATTCAACTAGTTCCATGCCATCATAACGATAGGCATGTTTATATAGATTAGAAAGTTCAAAAATTTTGTTTAATTAATGTTGATGGAATTCTTTGGTAAAAATTAATTGCTGAACTGAATTTCTAAATGGAAGGGTCCCTTAACTTATTCAGCATGCGAAGACTTGTCCAAGTGTCAACATTTTGAAGACAAGGAAAATTTGGAAGTCTCTTCTAAGAAAGTATTCCATTTAGTCTTAACTATGAGACATAAATTCAAATAATACATATTTAGTTTTATTTGAGTTTTATAATTAGAAAGAGTATACAGTATAAGGGATGGCAAAGCTCGTGAACTTTATATAGCACTTAAGCCTAAATGTTCATTCTTTGTTGCCTTGTAATCTTTCTTCTCCCTTAGAAGTCCTGAATCTTGAGTCCACAAATTTGTTTGGCAAACTACCAATAGAAAAACTTGCGAGTGATTTCAACTAAGCTACAACCACTTCAGTGCAAGCAATTCATTAAAGGTCAAACAAAATACGAACAGTACTACCTCGAGGTAACTTGACATGTCCAACAACGATTTCGCTGGAAAACGGTTGCTTGAATCAATTGGAAATTTCAAACAAAATTGATGGAGAAATTCCTCAAGAACTCGCAGCGTTGACATTCCTTTCATTTCTAACCTTTCTAAGAATCATCTTGTGGGTAGAATTCCACAAAGCCCCCAGTTTGATTCTTTTGAAATACTTCATTCTTGGATGGCCTTTGTATATTTCAATTGTCAAGAGCTTGTGATGCTCACACTGGATTGGTGCCAACCAGTGGCAAGTCAGGATTTTGTCTTAGGAGGCGCTAACGGATATAGGCTGGCAGCAAGTGGTGGTTATGTCCTAAACTAATATATATTTTTATTTTAAATTGGTACTAAGGCTTTTACTACTTAAGTAATTTACAAATTTTATATTGGGATACTATTCCCGTATTTGTACCTCATTCCGTGTTGGGCGGATTCCCAATGAATTAAATGAGTTTCACTCTTTACTAAAAAAAATTAATTTACAAAATTTATATTATTTAGGCTAAATTGTTTTGTTTATTTCTCACAATTTTGTTTTGAGCCAATCAAAATAGTCTAAATCTAAATTGGAATTAGAGTATTTTAATTCATAAATTCTTATAAATTTAATGTGAAGTTGAACGAGTTCTAATTACAATCAAACTAATGAAACTAAACCCAATCCACTCAAGCAATACAATTCTATACTTGCAATGTTTCCCGTCTTCTATCATACCTTAATTTGTTAAATGTGCCCAAAACGGAGTTGTATCTTTTTTTAAAAAATAAAAGAATAAATTAAATGATTATAGAGATATCCCTTTTACCTTATTAAAGCAGAAGACATGAAGCTTATGTGGCAATTACGTATGCATCTGTTTTGGCTCCAATGCACCATATTTCAGATTTCATGAGTCTTTTTTTCACGTGTAAGTCTCTTTTAATTAGAAGTTACATAATTCTTTTTTTTTTAAAAAAAAAACATGTTTTAGATGTGACACTTATCCAATGAAAAAATTCTTCAAATAAGAATCAGTTACATTTCAAACGAATGGATATATATTAATTTAAATTCAAATGTCCAATCGTACAGTTTTGCAGGCTTAATATAAACAAAGAATAAAAAAGAACCTAAATCCAGTAATTAAGAATAATGCATTATAAACTAATTATTTATTATTCCCTTATAACCTCAGATTTATAGGTATATTTTTTTAAGCCCCAAAACCATAGCATAAATGATATATACGCCAAATTAATTCTTCAAAAAATAGTAATTCAATTAGATTTTAATAAAATAGTAATTTAGAAGGGGCGCGCGGGCATCTGCCTGGGCCAAACATCTAGTAACCATTATAGAAAGAATCTATTCTAACTAATAAAATCATGGAAAGTCATTTGCATAATTGGATATGAAATTTTTGTAATGCGGTGAAATAATTTATGATAAGTAAATTTCGATAGGATCATAACTATAAATGGTATCAAATTATAAAAATTCATAGAAATGACGAATAAAATAAGGGGTATTTATGATAGTGTCTTTTGGTCCTCATTATTTTTTTTTCTAGATATGCTACTGTTAGGAGTTACGGACTGAAGTCATTTGGACATCCCTTTTCCCCTATTAAAGCAGAAGACATGAAGCTTATGTGGCAATTACGTATGCATCTGTTTTGGCTCCAATGCACCATATTTCAGATTTCAGGAGTCTTTTTGCCACGTGTAAGTCTCTTTTAATTAGAAGTTACATAATTCTTTTTTATAAAAAAAAAAAACATGTTTTAGATGTGACACTTATCCAATGAAAAAATTATTCAAATAAGAATCAGTTACATTTCAAACGAATGGATATATATTAATTTAAATTCAAATGTCCAATCGTACAGTTTTGCAGGCTTAATATAAAAGAAAAAAAAAACCTAAATCCAGTAATTAAGAATAATGCATTATAAACTAATTATTTATTATTCCCTTATAATCTCAGATTTATAGGTATATTTTTTTAAGCCCCAAACCATAGCATAAATGATATATACGCCAAATTAATTCTTCAAAAAATAGTAATTCAATTAGATTTTAATAAAATAGTAATTTAGAAGGGGCGTCCGGACATCTGCCTGGACCAAACATCTAGTAACCATTATAGAAAGAATCTTTTCTAACTAATAAAATCATGGAAAGTCATTTGCATAATTGGATATGAAATTTTTGTAATGCGGTGAAATAATTTATGATAAGTAAATTTGGATAGGATCATAACTATAAATGGTATCAAATTATAAAAATTCATAGAAATGATGAATAAAATAAGGGGTATTTATGATAGTGTCTTTTGGTCCTCACTATTTTTTTTTTCTAGATATGCTACTGTTAGGAG